GATACAATTAAGACGTTCAATATCTTTAATTTCTGTGCAGCCGAATCGCTCTGATGAGCAAATCGCATTCAAGCAATAAAATATCTAATTGTAAGGATATGGAGAACTTAAAGAAAACTGTTGAATAGATAAAATTATGTATTAATGCATGCATCTATCGATATGACTGTCAATATCCGAACAGAATACCGCAGAATATGATTTCTAAGATTTGAATAAAAAGTATGAGAGCACCATATTGGGGCAAATATGTTCCGATGCACTATTTCGATGCTTGATTAGGGCTGTGTTGAAACTGCTCCAATAATTCGTCATTATCACCGTCTAATTAAAATCTATATCACAGCACATCAAACAAAACCGACCTAAAAATATCAATCTCTTCTGTAATTTTCCTTTCAAAGAAGACCATATTCATTTAGATTCTACCAGTCTTACAAATGCACTGATATGAATATTTCATATTGTTCATGACAGTATGAAACATTTATATTGCTCACCAATGTTCATATTGTTCACTGTTTCCTCAATTCTATAGGGATTACCATTTTCGAGTTCACCGTACCCTCAGCATTCCCCACTAACATGTAGATTTCTGTACACCATTACATTGCTCTGAATCTCAACTATAAGAATATTATATATTTTGTCGAGGAATAATGCTTAGTTGAGGAGATATAGCAATTTTCATGAAGCCATCTCAACAACAAGCGCAAAGTCGCTCATTCATATAAAATCTATCGCTATTGATCAATTTCAATACGTTACTGTAGCTGTATAGAAGTCACCATCTTCAGGAAAACCGTATTCACAGGTTTGCCCGGAAACATGTGAATTTCTTTTCACCGTTCGATCCAGCCGAACCTCTAGATTCAGGAAATTATAAATTTTACTGAGCAATTTGGCTTAGTTGAGGAGATACAGGTATTTTATTAATACTACCTCAAGGCAATGCGAGTGCCACCTTCAATGCTACCGTATTCTTAAGTTTGCCTAGTAACATATGAATTTCTTTCCATCGTTCGATCCATCTGGATCTCTACATTCACAAAAACATATATTTTGCTGAGCGATTTTGCTTAATTCAGGAGATATAGCCATTTTCTTAGATCTATGATATTCATAGTTAGTGGTGAGTAGAACTAAACGGTTTTTATTTAGTGGACTGGGTCTGATGAAACTGGAATCTTCGTCCGATAGCATACGCATATACATCTTTACTGAAATAGAATTCGTTCTAAAAAAGGTAGATGGAATGCATTATTACGATGCTGGCCCAATCTGAGGGTATAGGCCAGCGGTCGGTAAGTAGGTCTAACCGCGAGCCAAAATTCTTCCAAGCAACTGATTGGCGGGTTTAAACCTATTTTCTTTTGTTTTTCTACCCCTTTAAAATCAAATTCTTAAATTCATCTGACGGATCAAAAATTATTGTCGGAGGACCAGTTTTGGCCCGCGGGCCGGGGGTTGCCGATGCCTGCCTTAAACTCTTCAATTCAGTAACTAACCGTTATGCTCACACTATAATGGCTTCTAGTCTAAAAACAGTATATCTGCAGTTTCACGAAAATTTCAATTCAACCTTCTGGAAAATGGTATCTTGATCTATATGATCACAGTACTAGTTAGTAGCTATGGTTGTCACATATGCCAGGATCGGATGGCCTGTGCCTTCATTCTTGTAGGTATAATGATAACACATTACATTACATCCATCCTACAGATAACACATTACATCCATCCAGTAGATGATAACTTATTATGTTGTCAATATCAGTTTTAGATTCCGACAGTTTTAACCAGTTTCCATAGTTTTAAATGTTCATTGTTATTTTTGATACTCAAAGGCTATGGAAAATGAATGAAAGATACATTGTTTTAACAAAAAACTACATCGTAATGGTTCCTCGACAATTTGTTAAGTTGACCACTGGTAATTCAACAGAGTCTTCAACTAGGCATTAAAAAGGAAAAGTTTTTCAATGCACAAAAAATATTAAGGTTTTTATTGAGTGTAGGAAGAGAAAGAATTGCTGAACGAATCATTTTTTATTTGTGAAACAACCTGCTCAAGGTGTCTCATTAAAATCTTCATTTTATTTTTAACAATAAACCGTACAACGCCAGCTCACTCTTAATTTGATGCGTGATAGGTGGGTAATACAGCGAGTACTGAGGTTAAATTCCCATAGTAATTTCATCACTTGCTAATTTCATCAATTCATTCGATGTGTTTGTTGAACCTGTTGTTAGTTATCATCATTATTTTTCATCGTAGTTGTTGATATCAAACAGATTTCAATGAATTCTATTCATTGCTTCAAAAAATGTCATAAAAAGTGATGATATAAGTTGGCGCAATTTCAAGCTTTCCTTCCGAGTGTTTCCTATTGCCGAAAACGACTCAGCTTTAAAAGTCGAATTTGAGCGAATGCCATTAGCGGAACGAAAGCGAGAGCTGCGAGTGTAAATGTCAATCAAATCTGACGAAATAATCAAAAACGCAATCAGTCACATTGCTGGAGGGCAACGACGAATCATGTTCAATCCTGTTCCATAAGTTTTCATTTTCATTTCATATTATTACAATTCAATGGTTGTTATTCATTCAGATCGAACTTGTAACGCATAACTCGTTTAAATGATCTCCAAAAATTTATGACACAGCCGTAAGTAACACCTTTTAAAAGGTCAGTAACTAACGGCACATCATCAATTCGATAACCAAGTTCAGTTGAACGAATCACACATACATGTGCAACATGTGTGCGATTCATTTATTCAGACTATTGCGAAGCACATCTGTCAGCTCGACCAGCGATCAGCTTGCCGTTCATCCATCTTTTAAAAACTTTTTTAAAAGTTTTCAGTATATCCAGATTACAAGGATAATATGAAAGAAATATTGTGCGATACAGTCTACTGACGATCAGAACTTGCGCTCGCAAAAGTAACATTGTGCAAGATGCTGTAGTGACCCTATTTCAAATGCATTTCGATGAAATTCACCTTTTGATTGAAATTTGCTTGGACGACATTTGTAGTATTGTCAGAGAGAGTTTATGTAAATGATGGGCAGAACATGAGATCAACGGAAAAAACAAGCTCACAATGAGACAGAAAACAAGCTCTCTTTAAAAAGCTGCTACGGCGATTATCCGGTTTCCGCAACAGATACATGGATGGATGGTATAGTTTAGAGAAGCACCTATCAAGTCAGGTGCTTCTTGTTCATTCGTTCCGTATACTTTCTTCGAATCACTCGAAAGTGAAAATGGGGTGCTTCACTTCACTTCCTCCACGATATACATTCATTGCATGACCACTACTTTCAATCAAACGACTATTATTATACATTCAACTACTTCTTAAATGAATAGTTTTTGCCTCGTTTGATTGGGAATTTTTTATATATTGCTTAACATTGGGAATTTTATCAAAGGAAACTTTTGATATATTCCTTGACAGAAGCCTTGAACGTTCCAGATGATTGTACAATATAATGTCGAAATTTGTTCGTTTAGATCTACCAATTCAAAGTTCAGTGTTTATAAGTTTCAGTCGATCTATGTGTTTTGAATTGAGTTGACTCCAATTTCTGAGTTGTTCTTATTCGTGTGCTATATGTATGAAATTATCTTTCACAAAACTAAAATTATTGCTGTTGCTCTTATGGCTGATATCGCTATATTTTTTTCATATGTTAATCGTATCATAATCGTTAATCATTGTCGAGAATATGTTACCCCGTTTTCTGGCCTATATTTTCATTTAACAGTCAGTACTGAAAGCTGATTGCTCCTGAGATTAATTACTTACGATGAAAGCAAGCTCCTTTATGTTAGCAGATATCAAAAAAGCAATCCTGAAAATTGAACATTAAATAACTGCTTGAAAATGAGTACTGGCCGACTTAGTTATTGCTTCTATACGTTGCTACTAATTTAGATCAAAGCGAAAGTTGCTTTTGAAACGACCACAAATCACTGATTGTCACATCAATCAGAGAATGTGGCTTAGCAACTTTTAAGATGTCATAATTCCACTCTTTGGTGATTTATCATATCTTTTCCACACATTTTTTCTTTAGCAGAAATAATTACATGGAACTTAGCTTTTGTAAATATGCATCATCTAAGTATCCGATTATATCAACGATTAGTTTTTTTTAAAATTGATCCTTTCATTATATTCACATATATGAAAGACTAAACAAACATCACTGCAGCAAATGTTTTTACACGCTCTCTAAAGTTGTTTTCATTGAATCTTTCATTTCACTTCCACAAGCAAGTCATCGAAAAAACAGTAAAATGTCGATAAGGAAATCTAGGAAGGTAATCTTATAATTGTGCAATTCACATATAAGTAGTTAATCATGATCAGTATGACCAGTTTTGCATACAATCTAAATTGATTTAATCCTTATCGATGAAGCTTTATTTCAACCAGATGAAGTAATACTGCTGAAATGTAAGTACGAATCACGATAATGCTTCAACTGGTGAAGTCATTTTTATCTTTCCATTTCGGAGTGAGAGAAAACTTGTAGTGTTCATCAAGAATGTTAACTTCATGCACCAGAATCGATAAAACTCCTCATAACGATTTTCACAACTACTCGTGTTTAGCTCATCTCATCGCTAAATATGTGTCTTTTGCAGTCTTTAAAATTTTTTATGAAATCATCATTGTGGATATGAAAGTGTTACCCATTGTGTCTTAAGCATCAGGTTATTACATGATGAATGAGTGGTTAGAATTTCTGGATTGGAATTGCAATTATTTTGAAATTATGAGTCTGTTGTGTTCTTTTTTGAATTGGAATATCTATGTCACAGCGATCTGTTATTCTTAATTCAGCCTTACAATGTCGTACGTCCAAAATCGAACATTAGAGAATTTCACAGTTTATAGATTTCAGAATGTCGTATAGAGACTCTAGCGACGAGTATTAATCGCAAAATAATTCATACCACTTCAGAAAATCGGACGCCTCGATGATGAACGTTGCTTACACGTCAACCGTTGTGATTCTGGCTATTTTCATGCAAATAAGTCACAATCAGAATCAACTTGGAACTGTAATTTATTCCATGTTTAGCTTGATATTTTTTGAGTAATATGATTACGATTGTGATGGCAGTGCTAAACTGAATTGCTGTTTTGAGGAAGTGTCAATGAAAAACTCATATTACGCAACTCGTAGTCATCATCGAGTTTCACTATTGCTCTCAAAAATTCATTCTTTTTTCAAAACTTCTTTCAGTCGACTAAACCTCTTGCGAGTGCATCAGAATTGAGAACAAATGCCGATCGATTCAGGTAGCTGTTGGCATCATTCTGGAGAGAATCATTAATTCGAACTAAATAAGTAATACATTGTCATGAGATTCATAAAGTGTTAAGATTAAATTGGCGATCACCTATCTCGAGAGTGACGAATATAGCTCTAGGATTAAAATTGTTGAATTGATTCACTGATAACGCTGGCCAACTAATTCTGAAAAGTTAATAAATAAGATTTGTTAATTCGTATGTCATTTCATATACTGAATCCTTAGAATTGAGTTACAAAGACTATAGTTATAAAGACAAACAAAACATGTAATATTTCAATTTTTTATTACAACCTGCAGTATGTCTTGTTTCATGCCTTACCTGTCCTCCTTTTTGCTTGACGCTTATATTCGGCCGAAGAAACATCTCTTGCCAATGACCAACAATAGTCGGCATGGTTGTGCTCCATTAATCCTGATACCGCTTTTCCATGGCTGAAATATCTTGGTGAAACCTTTCACCATGTTCATCACTGACTGCATCATAGTTCGTCGAAATAGAAGAATAAACAAGAGTCTAAAAAGTGAATGTTGAATGACATGATATATCCCAATTTCTTGTAAGCCTTGATGAGGTTTTTCACCAATTTATCATAGCTTTCTTCCCTTCGGTTTTCGAGAAATTTTTTTGCCACTAACTTGAATGCTTCTCAAGTATCTTCTTCCTTCCCATGAAGGGCCGATTCACAATCGCCATCTTTAAGAAGCTCACGAATCTGAGGACCGATAAAGATTCCTTGTTTTATTTGATCGTCGCTTATCGAGAGGAATTTCATCTTTAATTGCTTGAATTCTTAACGGGAATTGTCCATAGCTCGGGGGGCGCCAATTTTATCTGTAGCGGTGGTAGCAGAATTTTGTTTGGTTCAGTGATGGGTAGATGTTGAACATTTTTTTATTCCAATCTCTAATGATTGACGAGATGGCCAATCTTTCCTGACATCTTGCACGGTTGTCCCTTTCACCCAAAAAACAGCAGTATTTACTGTATTCAATCTGCAAGCCTATCACAAAAGCAACAACTTTTAAGTCATCACAGATCTCCCACTGATGTTCATCACATTTTATACTTTACAGCGTATGCTATATATTCTCGTGGGCTTCTTTCCTATGTGGTGCATAACCCAAAAGAACTGGTGGCTTGCTATTAGCGCAAGCCTGTTGAAACCCAAAAAAAACAACAGTATTTGTAGTGTTCTGACACGGAAGTTTATCTTGAAACCTAGAGCTAGTAAACAATTTAAATCATTATTAGAGACCTAAACTTAATGAAAAAATTACCATTCTGGTCTCGGAAGCAAAGCATTCTGTCTGTTGACCAGTGTAACCATATACCACTTGTTCAGTCTTAAAACAGAGCAGATATGGAATCTAACTGCCCAATTACAGAACGCACAAACAACAACAGCACCAAAGACCATCATTATTGAATCGTAACCAAGTAATTGTTCGTTTTGTTGTAACATTTTGATATTTCTGGGAATGAATGGTCACTTTGAACTGTGTAAAGCTTCGGTTTTGAATACCGCCCCCAGACATTAATTAGACTTCAAACTTCTTCGGTTCTATATAACCTCCATTTTTAATGGTTCACTGAGGATCATAAATGCTTAAGAAACACACTGTGAACATGATCAAAGAGTAACTTATACATCGAATATCTTCTATAAAACACAATCAATTTAAGCCAGAGCGATTCTCACAGCATCGCGTTTTCGCAGAACAACGAAACACCGCACTACTTCATCTCAACAAGTTGTTAGTTTATTTGATGCTTCATACGTTGATACTTGGGTAGAATCCAGCAGACCGTTTTGAATAAGCTGTCGAATGTAAATTATTGCTGTTGTAACAAATCAATGAATACAGGAATAACGGAGAACAAGTCACGCGCGATAGTTTTGTCGATGCTACATCACTCGATACCACAGCGCAGCAGCTGCGACGTCAGAAACGTGCACAAACTGCACTTGCAAAACATCCTCATCATTCTGCTGCTCTTAATGACCTGAATCAACATCAGTCATTATCAAGCACTCTTGATCGTCGTATCACTCAGATACTAGTCCGTGTGCCCAATTCGTTCAACACATCATCATCCAAGTGAGATGCCCCAGATTTTGCATATCACAAATTTTTTACCTTTTTTTTTTACTGTTCCAGCATACATTTATCAACGGAACCTTTAAGAAACAAAATCTTTGAAAGGGATCAGCTTTGTTCACTTATCATTGAGCGTTACACTTTCCAAGTTCATTCTTCTGGTTATAAGGAAATTTAGCAAATCAAGTAAAACCCATCGCACGATACAACGATGGCAAAACGTCATCACACATCCAACGGCCACCAGACAGATTCGTGTGCGACCTGCATCTGTAGCTCGATTCCGATGGAAGCAGCAGCATCAGCCGGTTCGGCCGGAACAAATTGCTCACGTACCATTTATGCGGCTGGCACAACGAACTCAAATTCTAGCGAACAACAGTCAGTTGCGTTCGAGTCATCATCGACAGCGCATTCAGTCATCAACTGAGTCGATATTGCAAGTTAAACCATCAAAAATTCAACACGAACAACTGATGCCATCTCAAGAAGCATTTCAGTCTCATGCCCCATTCCTTCCATTCGCACCCTCATCATCAAATTCGATAAACGATCGAAGTAATCGCTTCTCATCGGGTATTTCATCATCATTCAACGTATCATCACGTCAACAAAATGCTCATCTCCTTCGTCCACAAGATCACGAGTCAATTCCTTTCCGAAGCTCCTCTTCTCATTCCCTTCAATCTTCATTGCCTTCGTCTATGTTCGCTCAAAACGTAGATGACACTCCAGCGGTAATCCACAAATCAACTAATGAAGCAGCTCTGTCTAAAACACTTGAAACAGCAACCCCATCAAATCCATCTAGCACCATCTCACAAACTGATCCAACAACTGCTCAAATGCAACTCAGCGATCTGTCATTCGTCACAGTTCAACAACAGTTCATCCAACCAACACCAGTAACACCTATGACATTAACTATGTCGCAAATTCAAGTCCTATCTGATCCTGCTTCACCACTCACCTCATCCTCTCCACAAAGCCTTCCGACAGTCCACAATTCGCAAATCCCATCAGACCATTCACCCCATTTACTCTCTCCTACATTCACTTCAGTACCTTCCACGTCCAATCAATCATCGTTCCACACGTCTCAATCAAGTGGTCCAACCCCACCACCAATTGTTGAACTTCCACAATCAGATATATTTAAGTCAGCTTCACAATTAACTCACCAAATACCTAATGAAGAGATCATTCAAAGTCGTTTACATACTGCGCAAAATTCGATTCAATTTGAGCAAGGTAAGATGGTAATAAACTCCACTAGAAACATATGATATTGTTTCATACATCTTTTTTCTGTATTTCGTACCCACTGCACTGACTCTTCATCCAGTTTTTCCAACGGTTTATTCTTGATGTGTTTTCCAATACTGTTTACTCTTTCTAGGAAATTAATGAAGCGATATAGAAAGAGCACATAACCGATCAAGCTGGTTGCTGGTGTCAGTGATTGGCACGTCAAAAATTAGTTCCATTAACCGTTAATGCCCGACAAAAATTTTTTTCCGCTAATAGCCTAGCTGACAAAAAAGTGGCGAAAACTTTTCACTCAAAATGCAGCTGACCGGAAAGAGTAGCGCTAATTTTTGCTAAAACGCTATGATTGAACATTTAACTTCGACCCGTTAAGGTGATTATGAATAAACATGTATTTTAAATATCTTGATGTTGAGAAAAATAAAGATCCCCTTCTAGACAAAAAGTAGCGAGTTAGCGGAAATCTGAAAAAAAAAACTAGTTCACTAAAACACTAATGAAAGAATACAGCACAAGTTATTGCTACTTTATGCTGCTAAAAAATTGTTGAAATGGAAATTATCGCTGCAAATTTTCGCCCTATGGAAAAAGTAGCGAGCTGTTGCACTACCAAAAAAAAGTAGCTCCTCTAGTAGCGGAATAACGAAGAACACGTTATTGCCCACCACTAAACGTTTAACGTTTCACGATATAAACAGATTGCACGTTTAACGATATATCAGCATTCGAGTCAGGTAAAGGGACGATATAAACAGAACTGAGCAGAAACGTTTTACTTGTATGTGAATGAGAATGAATAAAATGCTTTTCAGAATCAGGTCCTATTCCACCTGCTCCTCAACCACCTCGTCAGCAAACACCTATTGTCGACCGCGATAGTGCACCGGGCTTCTTACCTCCAAGCGATTCTGTTGTGAGTAAACTGAATTCAGCAGAAGATTTCCTGGCTTTAGCAAAATCAATACATTTAAAAAGGCGTGCAAAAGGAACATTTTGATGAACTCGACGAGCTGTTATCTTCAGGTTTCATCAGCGAGACAATATAATTATAAATTTTATGTATTATTTTGAATGATCTTCGTTTAAGACATGACTTGTGGTATGGTAAATTATGTGTGTAAGTTCTGTACATCTTGTTTGTATGTCACTTATTATTATGCCGAATGACTTGAGCTTAGTTTATACATTGGGAAATTTGAATTGAAGAGAATCAATTCATCCAACCTGAATTGTGACTGATTTGAGTTTAAGTGAGAGAGTCGATGGGAATTTTAAAGTCATTATCAAGATAAATAAAAGGACATCGAAACCATCAAATATGGCTTTAAGCTGGAATGCCTTTCACGTACGCACAATAGTCTCATAGGTTTTTATGACGAGTAAAAAACGAGTAAAAAAACGAGTAAAAAATAAGATTCTCCTAGCCCTCAAGTACAAGATCCACTCAAATAAGGTATGAGATGGCAAACAGTTTTACTTTTACAGTTGATATGAATGCGTTGTAGAGGTCGTATGCTAAAATTAAATTTGTTCTTTATCTGACTATTGTTGTTGAGAAAGGTTTATTTCAGTGAACATGCGCTTGTTATATTTATCTGTGTTCAACAGTTATCTATTCAAGTTGTTTATAAATGCCAAGACAGGTTCCGTTGACGAAAGTGATCTATCTGTTTGTTTGTTTGTATGTGTAAGCCAACAATCATTTAATTTAACGGTGTCATTCATTTGAGATTGATGCATTGCGCATTGTTGTATGCCAGTGTTACAAGCGTTCTGCTGTGATGCCGATTTTGTCGCTTCACTGATAGACATTTTTCTCTAAAATTGAACCTGTTTCACTTATTCCACACGAACAATTATTCACCTTGATTTTATTTTGATGGAAACGAATTTAATAAAAAACACTGCTGCGTAAACATTCACAGTAGTTGAAACACACTTCAAATTTTCAGTGTTCAGGAAATTATGAATCTGTGGAATGGAATTTCAAGGATTCAGTTCAATGATAAGCTACGTAAGAAAGTACCAAAGTCACATAAGAAAGTAAGAAGATTGGCAAAAGAATAGTCGTCCTCAGAGGCCAAAACATGGAAAATAAATAACAGTTTTTCGAAGCCAGAAAGAGAAGCCCTCTCCCACGTCTCTTCGCTCTCCTTCCATTACGAAAGTTGCGTGTGTCGCGCGACGCTCCTTATAGCCATCTAACGCAGTGGTTCTCATCAAGGAGTTAATTGCTTCCCCAAAGAGTAATTTTTTGTTGATGAAATTCAGTTTCCCCCTCGCTGATGAATACTTTTTTTTATTGGTTTTCATTGTTGATTGCTGAGGCTTATGTTTTTTCAGTATTTGATAAATAAAGTTCTAAAAATACTTGTTTCATTCCAGGAAATTAATTTGTTTCACGCCACCGATGAATTTCTGGATCGGTTTTTGACTTGCTCCTGACGCTGTGCGTGGAAATAGTAAATCCTTCTAGGGAGAGGAGGGGGAAGGGGATAACGGCCTGCCAGACCATACAATGGAGTAATAGAGATTCCGAGCATGAGAAACACTGGTGTAGATACAACAAAATGGTAGTTGACCATAAAGAACATGTTAGCAAGATTACATGCGCTCAGAATGCTTCATTCATCTGACTTTCGAGGACTGTCGTAATCCACTCAAATATAATGTTTTAGGAAGTCATACACGGCAATTTTGTTTTCAGGGTATATTTTTGTGTTATGCTGACTTTATAAATACATCAACTTAGCCTTAAGCTCGCGGCAGCGGAAGGATTCTTTTCATAAATCACCATTCGAACCTATCAGAAACTAGAGAACAATCAGTTCTTTGTGTAGCAGTATGCACAAGCTCAGAATTTGTGTCATAGCTATTAAGACTGTCATGGACGATGAGGAATTTCGATGTACGGCACTGTTCTAGACCCTGAGCGTAGTGTGGATGGGATAAAAAAAGAGATGAAATGAAGAAAAAGTAGGCAGATGAGTGGCTGTAGGAAGAAGCTGGTGTATTTGGTGGGTATTTATCCTCGAACGAAGCATTCCGGCTATCATTTTACCGGTGTATGGAATGGTATTCCCGAAGGAAATAAAAGCATTGTTACTTAGCAAAAAACATTGTCTCACGCTTCAAATATGTATGTGTCTAAGGACAAGTAATTCATCTATTATAGGAAATGTTGTCCCTGGGGAGACACTAAAAAGCAATATGGCGCACGTAAGAGAAGACAAAGTACAACGAAAACAATGCACGATTTAATCAATGCACCAGTGTTTCTCAACCTTTTTTCTCGCCCGTACCCCTTAAAAATTTTTGAGATGTCCTTGCACCCCCTACAACAATATTTAAAATGTCCTCGCACCCCTCACAATATCCACACTATGTCTATTATCTACTAAAGTGAGTGTCTCTAGTGCAGATAAGTGGGTACTTGTGCTGTTTAGTCCCTCCACCCGTATGCAAGATCACGCGCGCGTGCGCGTAGCCACGCCTACTGGATAAGCCTAAGCCTGAGCCTAAGCCTAAGCCTAAGCCCTAAGCCTAAGCCTAAGCCTAAGCCTAAGCCTAAGCCTAAGCCTAAGCCTAAGCCTAAGCCTAAGCCTAAGCCTAAGCCTAAGCCTAAANCCCCCCCCCCCCCCCCCCACTGGAATACAATCTCGCACCCGCAAAGGGTGCGAGCAGTCCTGATTGAGAAACCCTGCAGTAGACGCTCAAATGGGAGATCATGAAATTAGAAGAATTTTTGCTCATTTTCAGCATTCTGGCCTCTATACTAGAGAAATTTAGTGATGGGATTGTCAGACTTCAATAACACTGGTTAAACTGAACACAAATGGTAAAATAGGGAAACTTTCTTCGGTCGTGCAAACGGAACGACGATAGATAACGAAAATTTTGGAAATGAGCAACAAACTGATTTCCTAACGAGGTAAATCCACGTATGCGTATATTCTTTCTCTCATCTCATTGTAAATCTCACTGCACATATAAAAATTGTTATGATGAAACAGAGCAAACAAATCACGTCATTTATGAATCAACATTGTGCAACATTTCCAATCAAAAATCATACGTTTTTATATGAACGAAATTATAGATGTGCTCGCTCATCCAATAATGTGCAATGCGTTACGAGTTGTGCGTGTGCTCATGTTATTCATCGACAATATTTTTTGCAGGGTGCAGTTTCACCCGGTATCATTCATTCCTGCTATATCGTTCAGTTTGTCTCGAAATTGTCATCGTCTTTTCAACAGGTGAAATTTGTGCTGAAAGTAAAAATTATGTATGTGTCGAGATGTGGCGAACGTGAACGAAAATCTATGTGAAAAGTTAGCTTGGGCAAGCGTTTGAATTCTTCGCTGTTCCTTAGACTGTTCCAAGATTTGATGAGCGATTACCTGAATACGGCGAAAACAATCAATAGCCATCAAAAGTCAATAAATAACTGAAGAAAGTATTCTATTGATTAAATGGAAGAGATGAAAGCGTAATGCTCTTATTGTAGCGTTTGATGCTCGCATTATGTGCGCAGGAAAATTGATTGTAAAGTCGACGCAGCCGATCGGTGCGAGCTAAACGGTCTACGCGATGACTCAGAGGTATAGCACCTAAGCGATGATTGGTATATCGCGAATTCGATTCTCTCTCGAGCGGAAAAGTTTTACTGAAAACCGAATGGTGTACCGATGCCATTAATGTTATCCAGCCTAAGCGAGGTTATGGTTCGGCTAGCATCTAATTATCTATTCATGTTGTCATGATCGCATATAAATCTGTTCGTTCTGATTGTAGCATTTGGCGCTCATCACATCAGTTTCGCATTATGCACCGAATGATGTACCAGTGTCATTGCTATTGTTGATGTAATTGAGAAAAAAATCATGGCTGTAATGGTTAAGAAAATTGCGGATCGCATTAATGTTTTACATTTATTTGTTTGGTTTCGTTTCATTGCATTTCTTATTGTATACTTCACTCAATTATTTGTTTGTTATTTGTCCATTTGTGACGATTACATGAAATATTATTATATGATATGATAAGGTCGTTGATAAAAGTTTTACGTCTTGGCTGAGGATTCATTTGAGGCACTAAAAGTTGTTAGTTTTAGTGATAAACAACAACAGTTGTCGACAATATGGAATTGAGTTGTAGTGCAAAGTGCTTGAAATACTTTGTGTTTGTTTCAAATGCAATTATTTGCATGATTGGATGCTTCTTTCTGATTCTGTCAATTCGTGCATTGGCTAAAACCGATATTGTTGACGATCTGCCTGAATTGGCTGATAGTAGTGACGTGCACAGTGGAGTGGTTGGTGGCTTTTTTTATTGCTATTACTGTGCTCTGATTTATTGCATACTGGAATTGCGAAGTGTTTGCTCATTTTCCTGGTTCGATCATCATCCTCATGGTCGCGTTAGTTTCAGATTCGAGCTGGCTTGATCATGTTGGCCATTTTCTCGTGCTTTATCTTTCTGGTCGGTTTCATGGGTTGCTTTGGTGCCGTCACAGAGAATCCAACGCTGTTGCTTGTGGTTAGATTGCTTTTGAAGTGCTCTTTTCTCGTTTGCCACCATCAAACAGAGAGCGATGCATGTGCAAATTCAGAGAACAAACAGCGTTCGCTCTCATATCATTTCTGAAATACTCACTCACTTTCTGCTCTAATAGTCTGAATTGCTTCATAGGTGAAGGTGTATTTCTAGCACATTTTCTGTTAACGCGTAATTCAATCATCTCTTGACTAGCGGCCATTCTATTTCAAGCGTAATAATTTTAACATTAACAGTACTTTTTACTGACTACACATTTGTATATCATTTTAATAATCAGATAAAGTTTAGTATTCGATAGTACTATTCACTTTCATCGTCCTTGTGATAACTTCACAATTTTTGGCAATCGCAGGCAGAAAAACTTTCGAGGAATCATTAGAGGTAGTTTATTATAACCTTTTTTTTCTGACATTTTTCACCAAATTCAACGTTTTCAAGATTATCGTATTATGTGCAGATTACCGAGTTCTCACTTCCCTATCGGAAGGCTACAAGTTGATAACCGTAAACTGTATTCTTCAATTTTTTAAAGAATGTGATGAACGTGCAGTACAACTCAAGTGAAGCTCGTCAAAATTTTACATCGTTTGAAGAAGCGTTCAATTGTTGTGGTGCAACTGCACAGTTGAAACCAATATTCATTGAGGAACATCTCTGCGAAGGTGAACTTGCCCAGCAGGTATATTCATTGATCAGGTTTTGATTCGATAAGCGCGTCATATTTTTTAAGATTTGTATGAATTATCACTTTACTTTATTTTTGTACATTTCTTCTTGGAACTGAAACAAGAAACAAAAACTGGAAAATTTTCTGTTCGTTTATGAGAGAATCAATGTTTTCGAATTCAAACAAACAAATTCCACAAAAACTGATCTAGTAACTGATCATATCGTTTTACAGCCAGATTGTTGTTCAGTGCTCACCGTGGGTGTTAGTGCAGCCTATTTGATATTAACATTCGTCCTTCTGTTTGCAACTGTCATCGGACTATCAGCAGCGTGCATTCTGCGATCATCACTAACACACAGACTTTCTTACGCTCAGTTCTGACCGAGCTGATGTTCAATAATTCCAATATATTCGATATCCTATTTTTTGCTTCATTATTATCGCGAATTCGAATATTATTATTGTAATTGCATAATTTTTCACTTTGTTTCAAGTAACTCTTCATGGATACTTATTTTGTAATCTATTTTTGAGTGTTTTCATTCTCAACTTTTTTCTGTTAAAGAAATTCTACGAAATTTCATCGTTACCAATACTCATTTATGAGCATACCATTTTTTCAGTACTCAACTGAAAATGTCTACTGAATTGAAATTGTGTAATTTAAATGTAATTCATCGATTAAATGAAATTGTCGCTATCTGGACGTACTCCTAGATAGAGGATTCGTTCGCTTCAATTTACCTGCCTAATATCGTTTCATTAGTGGGAGTAATCACTGGTGACCGCAGATAGTTGGTTCGTGATTTTGGAACGATTTTGAGAGTGTTTTTGCGAGGTGTTTTAATTCGGTAACAGATAACAGCGACAGTTTCCAGCAGGTGTTTTTATCTGAAGAATTCAGTTGTTAGATTTTTGCAACTTGCATTTGTTTTTTTCAGTCTTCCTTTCAGGTGCCTTCTAAATGATTTCGATGCCTTCTCATAAAGTTGAAGACCGTATGTCTTCTTTATACACATACTTCTGAGCTTTTTCTTTACAATTATTTGCAGGATTTGATAGTAATTTTAACTTTGCATAAAATTTTTAAAGAGTATTTCGTACGAATTTGTTACATATAGCCATTAGATCGGGATAGCACCTATGTATCATCAGAACAGTATTTGACTTGATAGTTGAAGGAGCACTGTCGACTTTGTATTTTGCCCCTTTACCGCATTACATCCTGGTACCATTCACCGACAAATCTGAGAGCCACCAATGTAACAAGGTATGAATTTTGAAGATGCACAGACGCATGAATAATTGAAAATTCATTATGATTCTCTTGAAATTTGACGTATTTAAGCTGTTGTTTTTTTTGGCAAAATATAGTAGCAGTGAATGGACGTTGTTGATCATCTCATAAGAAAGCACTGAGAAGAGTGATTGCTTGGATTAAACTTATATCTTCCGTTCATCCATCCAGAAAATCATTCACTTCTCTTTTATTAAAAGTATTCACCAAACTCTTTATCTTATTGGTTCTTTGTGAAGTTCGTTCGTATACCATTCTCAGTAGTATTGCGTTGAACTTATTCTTCATCGTGCTTCACTTTCAATACTCGTTTAACGCCACTTCATTTAGCAGCCTAGTTTCTTATAACCTAATTTCACCGTTATACGGAGCATTACGTCTTTCGAACGATCAGCGTTTTCTGTTCTTCTGTCTAATGCCAGAATGTCATAGGAAAACACACATGAGTTGATTTTGAGGAGTATCGAAAACTTATGTGACTAAACGATGCTTTATTTGACCGATTTCTTGCAGAGTAATTAAGAAAATGTATCTGGTCGGCACTGAAAATGGCATATCAATTTTTATCTTAGATGCAGAAAAATAAAACGATACCGTTGAGAATGATCGCTTAAAAGTATTGTGCAGTTGAATCACTGATAAAGATAGCACATAAATTAAGAAAGCAATTTCTGTGACGTTTATGACTGTCTTCTGACTTGAATATGTATTCAAATGATGTATTTTATTGCTATCTAGAGCCAAATGCAAAATTCTTTCATCCGTTATTTCGGAGCCACGAAGAGGATCATGAATTTTTTCATGTTGCACAAATGGCATGTTTTATAATGGCTAAAGGAATGTTATCTTCTCTCAAATACCATCAGGAAAAACGATTCGCTTAGAAGAAATTGATAGGATTTGTATGGAATTGGTTCAGCCGTACATTCTGTATGCAAGTCGAACTCTATATAAGCTGAAGACGTGCATTCAAATTATGTGCGTCTACTATCAAATACCGTAAATACCATATACATTTGTCAGCTTGATACCGTTCTGCACATTTCGGGTCGTCTGAATGTCAGGACTGTTCCATACTCATCATTGGTTGTTTGCATCAACGTTCACAGCAGTCCACTCTGATGAAATTATGAACGCTTATTTACTGAGTGACCTTGTGCCCTTCATATCAGTCGTAGATTTTCGATCCTCTGCGACAAATCGTCTTTTTTTAAGTGGCTGTCTCCAATATGAATATTTTGAAGAAAGAGGGTTTTTTTTGTAAAAAAACAGCAATAGCGATTCATTCCTTAGCCAAATATTGTGAAATTGGCTGCTCATAAAGGAGCAAATGGGTGCAAGTAATTGATTTGAAACGATCACGAGTACATAATAAAGGTGATGAGTATTGATGATATTGGGCTGAAAGCCGTGAGATGAATTACGTATGTGAAAAGCGCTTCGTTTCATCATAAATAATCAACTTTTCCAAAGAGACATCAATTCAGTTTACGTGTTCGTTGCAGTAATGTTTATGTGATCGTTTCAAACATCAATTAAGTTGTAATTATTGAAAATACGTGGATATTTTAACATAAGCAATTCGAAGATATTCACTTGTTGCGTGAGATAACAGCAAACATAACCTATTTTCTTCGTGTGATATCATAATTTATTCGTAATTGGCTTGTAATATATGATATGAAGAAGAGATGAAACGAATTTGTTTTTAGCGAAATGAGTCGGAATGAAAATCGAAAAACAATGGTAATAGCAAGAATAATGATGAGAGTAATAACAATAATAGTAAAAACAATAATAATAATAATAGTGATAATAATAATAATAATAATAATAATAATAAATGACAATAATAATAAAAATAATAATAAATATCAATAGTAATAAAAAATAACTATAACAATAATAGTCGATAGATGAGAGTTGTAGAAATGCGTTAAGATTGTTGGATTAGCGGTAAGCACCGCCTTACGTTCATTGTGTGAACAACAATAGCAATGGTAGCAGCAGCATAAGCAACGGCTTCAAGTTTATTCATTCAATCGGGTCAGCATCAGCTATCGAATTGAAATGAATTGAATGGAATCCAGTCAAAATGCGTGAACAATTTTCATTCGAGTTCACCATCATTACCTTATTTTGTAGTAATATTACTTATCGTTACTACATTTTTTCTACAATTCTTCTTCGAGCCAATTATTCAGTTCATGTATTCACCAACTGTCGTCATCTTACGTTTTTCATCGCATGTCCACTTATTGCTTCCTCATAATCATATATACTTTGTCTTTCATTACACAGTTATCATATCATATACCTTGTTTTTCATTACACAGTTATCTGTCACTTTATTACACCACGTTCACTCATCATCTGCAATTTATACGGTACCATTCATCTATAATTGCTCATCTGCGATGCTATTTTCTCATCCATTGCGTTCTCATGAAAGGACCATTTTTGCCCCGATTTTGAGCATCATGTTCCAGATTATTTCTTGAATTAAGTGCTTGAATGTACTTTTCAAAGCGATATCTTATAATTAGCTTAATTTGCCTTCGATTCTGCCAGCTAACAATAGTTTTTGCTCATTCTTTCATTTATTCATCATTCATTCTGTAGTTGTGTGTCCTTTTAATCAGATTAATCGATGTGGGTGAAACTGAAACACTGCGCGCATCATCGACCCAATTTTTCGTTCTCACTTGAGAATTCAGCCTTCCGCACAACATCGGCCTCGTCTAGGCATGCATTTATGATACATATTTGTTGGTGTCAAATGCGCGATCCCCAAATGAATATATCTGTTTCGTGAAATATGAGAATGTTTTAAAATAACACTAATGTTGCTATGAATTGATCAGCATTAAGCGTTACATGCAGAATTTTAAGGACGGATTATCTACTTGTTTTGTGGGCAGATTGCAGATAAATTTGAGAACGAACTGAACTTCTCTCGTCTTTTCATTTCATTTTTTCAGGTGTTTATTCGGCCATTTCAAATTTGTTGTTGTTAGCAGTAGGAGATTTGAAATTGAACATTAGACTGATTTCGTTCTTTTTCTATTCCTCAGTACAACAAATTCATTCTCATTTATATGAGAATGAATCAACTACAACGAATAGTAGGTGTCTATTTTTGATAAGCTTCAAGAAGTAACCGAAAAAGCAATCATCGATGAACTACAGAGAGCATTTTGAATTGCTCCATCCGGTGACTGCTTCCTTCCAAGCATTTAGAACGTTATTGCCCACTGTTGTTTTTCATATCCGCAATTAATCTCCTTCTCAATCATTTGCAATAACATTCTTCTCTGTTCAGTTGTTTGCACAAAAAATTACGTTAATAAATTTATTACTGTGGTGAATTTGCTCAGCTACTTGAAGGTAACTGGAATGAATCGAACATATTTATTGAGCAGTGAAATTATGCTGCAGGGGTCAAATGCTCATTGTGTTCACGAGATTATTTACTTGTCGAGAAAGAGTTCGTTTTTTTGCGTGAAACTGAAAGCGAAAAAGAATAAGAAGAGTAAGAAATGTAACAGGAATGAAGAGAAACAGTTCAAACTAAATTCAGTGAAACTGAACGTTGTCTTCGCTCCTTTATTGTAATGACTTCTTTTCGAACAATTTGTTTTGCCTTCAATTCAGTTGCATAATCCGGTCGCATCATCCTAAACAAATCAACAGCAACGATTGATTGAAATTCCGCAGAAAAGTTGACGCTTTTTCAATTGAGTAATTCGATATTCATTTAGTGAATATTTTCGCAGATTCGTTTACAAGTGAAAGAGCAGCTATTGTGGCATTGAAGATGGCTTTAATCTATGCAAGTGCTGTTAATAAGCGAATTAACCAGCACCAAACCACTCAGAAGAGTCGCAAAAAATCACTTGAACATCATTTGGCTACGAATGCGCAAGAACAACCGCACTCCGTAACGATAGTACACTTACGACAACGATCAAACGAAGATGGACGAATGTCGATTCATACAGTTGAAGAAGCATTGCTCCAAAATGTTGCGGGTGGCGGTGTTTCACATGAAATGACTCCTCAAAGAAAAAGGTAATCAGGTTTCTGTATATCGCTATCAAGTAGCGTAAATTATGGCCGTGAGCCATATACCGTAATTTAGGCTTAAGCTGAACCTCATACCGGAGCTGAGGTTCTGTGGAACAAATAGATAGTTCTGTTATACTGGAGTGAGATATCCATTGAAAAAGTAGATATTCCTGTGATGTGAGCCTGAGACTAAGCGCAGACCCAAATGTAATATATCACTACATTTCACTCTGATTATCGCCATTTATCCCTATGTAATATTGGTACTGATGTGCCTCGAAATCGAAATGCATTTTGAAAAGTGAAATTACTAGCATAAAGAAGCGAACGAAACATTCATCATAAATATATTTTTTGATTGATAATGATCCACTGAGTGATTGTCATAACAATCATAATGATAATAACAACAATTCGAGATAATTTTACGTCTTTACAATGGTGCTGTCAACATGATTGTTTATCTATTCTTTACTTTTCTCTTTCACTGTCACGCGACTTGCTTGCTAGCAAATAGATAATAACACTGAGGAATGCAATTTTGTTTTATAGTGCAGCAAATGAAATGAAAATCACTTGAGGATTTATTATTTGCAGAAGCACATCGCAGCACAGTGCACCATGTTCTTATGCATCACCTTTAGCCGGTTCATCCACAAACGATCCAGAAGCAAAAACAACCATCCTTAAGGGACACAAACGAGTGCAACGATCTCGTACTAGGTGCTCCTTTATACTTCTTTTTTTTTTTCACGTACTGCAACAACGATAAGGGGTGCAGGCTGTCTAGAATAGGAAAATCGAGAAATCACTTTAATAGACTATTTCATTCACCGGAACATTTCGAACAATTATAACTTTATCAACATAAATTTGGTGAATTTTTGTGCTATATGGCATAAACGTTAGTGCCAGCTAAACAGTCTCTTTTTAGTTGGTTGAATAAAGTCAAAAGAGTCATTGACTGAATATTGCCATTGTAGTTGTGGTGACATGCCACGAAAACAAAATGGTGGTATCATGAGAAAATCCTCACATCCAGTTGGGACCGTTGAAACTGCTTCAAAGCAAGTATCACTGAGTAGACGTGATGTACACCGTTTCAGTGGAAAATCGCCGAATGGAGTCGTATGTTCTCGTTCTAATTGATTTCTACGTTCAAATTCAATTCGTTCCGAATTATCCGACAATCTCTTTGAATTTTTAATCTTTTCAAATGGATTATTTATATCATTTGAGGGAACAGCAACTGTATCGCTGACAACTCTAATGAATAGTTCTGATGAAGGTAATGTGCGAACTTACTGAGATCGATCTTGAAAATATTATGAAAGCATTGTCTCGTTGTATGTACAGAGTCTGCGATCATGCGGCTTCATCACTGAAGAGTTAATTTCATCTACTGTTTCCTAAGTATAATACAAGTTCCGCTGCAGATTCGTCGTTAGTTCTAAAAGTTCACTCATTCAAAAGCTTGGTGAAGAGACTGGACAATTTAAGACTATTCGAATTCGCATATGTGCGCAGACGTATAGAAATTTTATGGCTTTGATTAGGATCATTTCTTGTTTTTTGTTTGTTTCACTGGGAAGTTTTTAGTGTCGTGGTTAGGAAGTTAAGATTATAGTCAATAATTAATTATATGAAAGATATTTTTATTGCATCTATCAATTTGTGGTTTATACATATGAACATCAGATGTATCGCTTAGTTAGTGTGTGGTCATAAAAAGACTATGCTTCTAATTTCTATTGCAATCGTTCATTTTCTGGTTTGGAACATGTGGTATTCACAAATGAAATTAATGATTTTTACGCGTTATGTTCATTTCGTCGCTACGACTGTATTTTACCGGTAGCCATTAAATGAAGCGATCAGTAATTAAGCGGTAAAACATTATTAGACAGCTGAGCATATGCTGCTTGATCATATCGGTGGTTGAGCGCTGAGAGCCTGTTTTGCAAAAGCAGCAACAAAAACAAATGAGTATTATAAAAAAGAACAAGTGCAGCGATATTGCTCCCTCAAATGTTTTGCTATCAACCAGTCAGCAGATGCATTGAATTTTTCTTCATCATCTAATTTTGACGGCTTTTTTTTACATCATTATGAAGCTAAAAATATCTGAAAATAACACGCATTGTGACAAGTGAGAAATGTTTGATGCTTACAATCAGCATCTGAGGTTTCTGTTGAAATATTCGTTCGTTTATTTAGTGCAGTGGACAAACAGAAGGAAACCATCATTGCGAAGTCAATAATCTCGTAGTTGAGGTGTTTCTCTGCAACGTATTCATGCAATATCCAAACTGTGATGCTTCTTCGAAAGATTTTCACTTGTTCTAAGTGACCATCGCTTTGTGTTTTCAAAGCGGTTGAGTTGATTACTTCTTGATCACCCTCCGACTCCTATTACAATGATTTAGTAACTTCGCAACCTGAAATTTGTCCCTTCCAAAGCATCCACGAAGTTCTTTCCCACATGTAATAATTATTCTCATTATTACAGACGGAAAAGCAATGAGAGTGAGCAACCAGTAAACCACTTATGAGTATAGCAGTGCACATGGATTTGTTTTGGTCTGGTGTTAGCAGCCTAGACATAAACCCAAGAGCACGCCTGGTTCTGAAATCGAGTTTACTTGATCTTCATAAATCTAAAATACAGCCATGCGTACAGCTGTACCCGCACGAGGTTCATGAGAATGTACCACAGTTAATTCTCTCCCTCTCTCATTATATCATTTAACTGATTCTCCCCACCTCCCCCTCCTCCCTAAATGTCTTCAAGCTGCTACATCCTTTAATCTGAAGTTGATCGTCACCGAATTTCCGCTACAAATTCGAAAAAATGAAAAAGAATTGGAACTTTTCAGGATTTGAACGAAGCAGGTGCATCACGCTCTCATTCACCGACGCGAGAACGTTTCTCGTCGTTACGACGTGATAGTTTAAGCCTAGATGCTGAAGAATGGCGGATGCAAATGGATTTAGCTATTGAAGAAGAAACTGGAGTAACGTGAGAATTTATTCTTAATATACTCGTGAAAAGTGCTTAATTCTATTTGTATTGTTATTATTATCAGTCATAAATCAAGCAAAATTGCTTACAGTTGGCTTTCATTTTTAATTTTTGGAATTCAACCTTTCTCGTCGAATAACTCGTACATATTTCCGCATTGTTAAATTTTTTCTGTGATTTTCAGCGGTGATAGTGGCAAACCGGGTGCTTTCCAGCGAATGAGGAGAAAATTCAGCAAATGGAGACTCAGTCGAGCGGATGATAAGGATGATCGTTGATGTGTGTGTATGTGTGTTTATCCTTCTTCAAACAACAACATAACATTATCCCACTGAATTGAGTACCTGTTAATGCTCGATCAAATAACTGCAGTTCATGAGAGCAAATCGCAACAGCAAATTAGATTTATCGCTTCAACAGAAATTTTTTATTATTTATCTCGTTTTTGTTTTATCGCAACTGTGTCGCAAAATTATTTAGCAATATTCCGTTGTAATGGATAACATTCAGCGTTATTTGGATAATTGTATGAGTGTGTTATTTGTCATGAATCTTAAGCAAGGCAATTCTTTCTAGAATCATTCAGGCATTATCTGTCCACAAACCACTGACCGCTCGTCAGAGGAGTCGAATTTAGCGGAAAAACAAATTGACATCTGCCATAAATTTTGTTTTAAATTTCTTAAATTTTCCAAGTGTCTTCGTTACTTCCTATTTTAACACGTGGTTTTTTGATCTCATATATGCTCACGATCAGCAAAAAGTGATGAATAGGCAAAATGGAATGTTGAATGTGAAATAAATAAATGAATTGCGATTGTGTTGCTGATTTCGAGAATAACCAACCGAGTAGCATAAATTGTGAAGCACCGCTGATTCGTTCTTCAAATACTTCTCGAACGTAAAACTGTCATCAGCATCCGTCACCTTTTGTAATCATCAAAAATGTTGTTGCCGCAGAGTATTGTAAATATTAATGTGCAACCTAACAGTAAGCAGAAAATCGGTTTATACGACTTGTGTGGTCAATAGCATCACTAAGCACCCTACGCCGGTCACCGGCAATCCCTGGCTCGCGGGTCAAAATTGGCCCATCTTCATTTATTTGATCCGCCAGATGAAATTAAGAATCTGATTTTAAAGGGGTGAAAAAGAGAGGAAGAAAGGTTTTGAATTATTTAGCTGCTACACTGAAAATTTTCAACACAGAATTTCCTAATAGACGACCAACTGTGTCGCCGACGCATACATTTTCTCTTCATTTATATCCTTAATGAAGACAAATGTCTGAACTTATTATCTGTAACTACATTGCAGTTGTCAACTCTCGCTTGAATTTTCCACATGCAAGATAATACCCTTATTACCCTACTACAATATCATTTTCCACTTGAAATAATACCAATCTGAGTTTATTGAGTTCATCAAAATGCATCCATCAAATCAGTCAACAAAAAAGCGTTATCGAACAAACCCATCAAAAATCATGATAAAGACGCCTTACTTTTGTATGTATGAACAACGATGTTCAGCTGTTGATAATGGCGTTTGTTGTGCCCATTTTAAAGAACAACTTCACAATTTATTCGCCCAAAAAGATTCTCTCAAGCAAAGATTCTCAGATGAATTCTTTCACTTTCAGAGGTTAGAAGATGCTTTCGAAGGAAACGTTAATATTGCATCATACTGTTTATTCATCTTGGGAAATTTTCTCATTGTATGGAGTCTGATTAAAATATTGAATATAAGTTTTTTTTTCCAATAATGAGTTCAAACTAAACTATCAGGGTATACATTCGTCATCAAGGTTCCGCATCGGTGAAAAAACTGAACCTGCATAAAATATTAATTGATAGATATCGTAGCACGATGAAGTCGCGGGTTTCAACTTCTTGTTTTCCGGCAAACACTCACCATATTCGTTTTAGGAATTGTGAGACGATTAGTTATTATAATACTTTTCACCTGGTTTTTTTTTTGAATTCAGTGAACTTGTTAGATAAGTATCATATTAGTGATGACTGTACTGCTCGCTGCTCTGATTGATTGCATGATTTGATGTTTGCAGCTGTCGCTCACTTCATCAAGTGTTGCAAGAAATCGTTTCAGATTTATCGATCGCACTATACTTATCAACAAATAACTGGCACCACTATCTATTTGTTAGTATATATTTAAGCATGATCACCTCTAGTTGAGCAAGCAAAAATGCTTTAAAGTGAGCAAAATACATTGCTCGAAGAAGATGAGAGTCGGAGAAATTCGGAGGAGAATCTATAAGTGATTGTTGGCAGAACACATTCAAAGCCCGGAACAGTTGCAAGCACTCCTGGTCGTTGATTTGCATCCAGCCTAGAACCACCATAAATAACATCATACGAGCAATGTTAGAAGGGTTTGGAAATTAGCTACGTAATGCTCACCAAAAAAATAATTTATGTTACGCGTTCTCTCTATTGATTGAAATTTTTTTTTAAATTGAATTTGTTCGATTGTGTAATATTTATTGCTTTGTACTTCTTTTCAGTTTTCTGATTTGGGGTACTCAGCATGTTTTCGTTAAATTGCTGCAATTGGGCAGCATCACTTCTCGGCTTAGGCATTATGAGGGCAGCAGCAAAATTTTCAATTATCGGAAGCATGCAAACATTTTAGGTAGAAGTACTTTAATATTCATTGATGTTCAATGTGTTACATTAATTACTTCTGAATATGAGCCTTCTTGTGGACTGTACATATGCTGACTGTTTTGTAGCTAGATTCTACCAACGCAATTAATTAATTTGAATGTTATTGATTGCTTTGCAATATCATTATATTTATTGTTAGTTGTTTCATCTAATTATCGTCGTTTACTTTTAATATAAATACGGTTTAATTTGGAGGTGACATTCCATAAGAATAGGTAAATGCAAACAGTGTTTGCTTTTTGTTGTATTTCATTAGTGCTTGGATATTTTATTGTTCAAATTGTTGCTGTTTATTTCACTGTTTTTGATGCCATTGTGCTTATAACTTCCACACTACTGTTCGAAAGAGGTCTCCTCGCGGGGATCCCGTGACGGTTCATCGTTCATTCCCCGCGGGTGCATCTATTGGGGAAGAGGATTCCTTGGATTGTGTCCCTCGCGGCGGCGGGGGATTTTAAGGCTCCACGCTGGCCCCGTACTTTTTGTTTATACCCTGAGGAATGTAATTTGTTAATGTTTTAAGAGCATTTTTCCGAACTGATATGCGGTAGAATGCGAACTGGAAAGACAAACTAGTGTTTACTGTGTGCTTTACAAAAGAAGAATTGACTTCATATCGTCATTATTTGGTACAAAATTTATCCTGCTCTTTCTTCATCACTGCTCTTATAAGTTTAGTAAAGACTTATGACCAAATTTGAAAAAATTGACTCAGCTCTGGCTATGCCATTCTGAAGATTCGGCTTCAGCTCCGACTCATCCTGTCTAAAAAATTTGTCCCTGGCTCCAGCTCAAGCTCAAAAATTTTTAAATTTTGGGTCCAGCTTCAGATCCGATTCCACATCCTCCAACTTTAGGGCCACGGCTTCGGCTACAACACCGAAATTTGCTCCGCTTCACCTGTGGAAAAAATTTATCAGGCAGATCCTAGCTCCGGCTATTGAAAATCGCTGCGATATTTTTCTTGATCGAGTTGAAAAGTTTTTGGTCCGGAGCTCGGCCACTACTATTGATAGCAGTTGCAGGCAGCATTTCTCAAGATAAATAAATCAATTGTAAGTTTTATACGATCGAATACTGTTATTTTTGTTATGTGCGTTGTATGGGGGTTCCTGCGGGTGCGGGGATTCTCTGAAAACGGAGGTCCCCGCAGACGGGGTTCCCACGCGACTTGTCGTGATGATTCATATCTTGCGGGGGATTTTTGCGCAGGGGAGGATTGGTCCATTTTCCGAATACTTATTATACAATGCGAATTACACAGAACTATTGTGATTGATCAGTCTTTCACTTGTGAGAATGTGCCCTCGTTTATGGAACGGTCGCAGCGAATGAGAATTAATAAAGAGCATTGTTTTCTTGCCAGTGTTTCAACTGCGCTGATGTTGTGCTGGACGAATGAATGAGTGAATCAAAACGCATCACACAGATGGAACAGTAAATGAAAACACCGCACTAGTTTATGTCATCATGTTGAGTAGCATTTGCATTATATGACGTAGTTCATGTAAGACTTTACTACTGCTGTTGCTTATAATGTGAAAAAAAAAACATAAATAATTCATACAAATAAGCGTCAATCGCCGCCGACTAAATGATTCGGAGAGACGCAATACGGAGCAAATGATGAGTTACTTTAATGTCAACATCCATCCATTACACATTTTGTTTCGCAAAGTTTTGTTTCTTTCAAGTGTTGTTCAAAACAACGTTTTAAGTTAGTTAATCAAACGACGTAAAGAGTGACTGATGTCAATGGCTGTTTTCAAAGCGAATCCAAAAGTCTAAGTCATCATCATAACAATCATCAGTAAATTTGAACACATGTTCATTTGACGTTAATAAACGATCTGTGGTTCACAAAGACATCTGTTTTTCATGATAAACCAACTTATGTGGCGTTAGTTTATAACGATAAATTGGAAATTATATGCATCTCACGCGTCAAATGGTGAAATAAAACATGGGTAATGATCAAACTTTAAAGAACGAAATCAGTCAGTGGTCATACATATGCTCGTATAAATATCCAAAATATGGAGCATTAATGTGAGCATCTGGTTTTTTATGATCAGCTCGTAAATGAGCAACAAACACTGAAATGAACTGATTTTGCTTTTGATGATAAACCAACTAAAGAACGGCACTACGCAATTTGACCTAATAAGCGTCCGAGAATATTAGCCCCAAGCACTCACGATTTTTGTTTAATAGATGTTTAATCTATAATCTATGAACAGAATATCTTTACACTCAACATTGACGATCGAAATTAGGCTTTAACCAACCTGCTTATCAATAACAAATAACGCATCTTTATCACTGATGATTGACAGCTCACTTCAACAGTCTCCTTCGAGGTACTATGTTTTAACAATCAGCAGGTTCCGTATAAAGATGAAAGATAATATTTATTATGAATTATGCATCTCGAAGCACATGATTGAAGTATTATGCTGATGAGTAAACACAGATGTCATTTTTTCGTAGTATGAAGTAACTGCAGACATGGCAATGAATATCAACGAAATCGATTGAAGAATTAGCAGACAAGAATTAATTGAACGTGATTGATACATATAAATCGCGCCGAAATAAGTGAGGGCCGATGTGTCGTCATATCCCTGTACGACAGGGTTTTTCAGCTGTAAATGCTCGCACCCCCAAGGAGTGCGAAATGGCATTTCAGGGGATGCAAAATAAGATTTTATTTTTTATACATTAAAGTAGGCGAGCATTGACTTCCACTGCTCTACGATTCTGTAAAACCGCTGATTGATCTGTTCATACTTTTTCTTAGGTACAAATGAGAATCCAGCGCAATATTTCGTTACAAGCTTGCTAGACGACGTAATGTGGGATGCATGATCGTCATGTGCTGATCAAATGTTCAGTGCAGTCCTTCGACCGAGTTTATGGTACGCAGAAGGTCCTGTGATATTTTTTCATGCACATTCCACATTTACTGACTAAAAACCGGTTGCTTTTTCTGCCCCTCTGATCCATGTAGATTTAAAATACGTCAGGAAGCCTTGAGCACATCATTCAATCATCGTCTAATGATGCCACGAATTGTTCGAAAACGGTATTAACATCGGACAACAGCACGAACACGATTGCTTGGAGACATTTCACTACCATTCCATTATCGAGATGATCAGCGTACTACCTGCTGAGCTCCAAACCTTGGATAGAATTTGCTTTTATTGCATTCAAGATCGCCCTCTCGAAATGCACCATGACAGAGGTAGGATTCATGTTGCGTTTACAGTTCAGGTGCGTCCATATGGCATTGTACATTTAGTCGTTTTTATTTGGCTACGCAGAATAATAACGGCTCTGTTTTGGAATGATCAATTAATGCGTAAACCGTACACATTGGTAGCCCTCTGATGCTGAGTCGAAAGTACCATCGCAAAACCAGTGTTTTTTCCGCCAGAATATCCAAATTTCTGGCAGTTGAGAAGATTGTCAATTGCAAGTCGTTGTCTTCGTCCAGCACAAATGGTTTCCCTCGCGCAGTAAAACGTAAGTCTTGTGCAAAAATATGACCTTCCAGGGGTGCCCTTTGAAATCGGATCATCTTGGATAAAGCATGCTTATTCGGTAATGCGTCTGCAGCATCCAGTGGATAATGCTCTGTAAAATTTTGTAGGAGGAATGATGTGCACTCATCTGAGGACAATGCCCGTAATTTCTTACTGCTTACCGCTTTAAGAGCGTTCCTTCTAGCGGTGGACGACGGGTGGTTACGCGCCGAAACATTCCCTTTTATCTCGTTGTTGACAGCTCTCAAAAACCCATTACATTCTCTTCTCTTTTCTCATCTCCAGTACTCGAAATCTTCAACTCTTCGATTGACCACATCGCAATTCCGTTTATTAATAACTTTCTTTCTCCTCTTATAGTGCTAACGAATTCCATCTTACGAAAAGAAATTAAAGTTGAACGCATGAGTTTACCAGAGCGATCCGGATGAACGCGGAGGATCCCTTAGAGAGAAAGGATTTCAATGATCAACTATTTCCGATTTTAGAAAAAAAATGCATTCGTCAGTAAAGTAGTATTCTCCTCACTGAAAAAATGATTTTATGAGCTGTTTGCTGAGAGAATTACCTTTCTGCAGCCTTCTTTACTGGAAAAGTATAGATGGTATTTGCATTCGTTACACTGTTCTTAAAAATCAAAGGATAGTCTTGCTCTATTACATATAAGTAGCACACTGATACCATTTGACAGCGCATCTTGAATGTGGCATGACTCCATTCAAAATCCCTACACCCCAACAAAATCCCTATCACTTAAGAATTGATAAGCAATGACACAAGAAGGTTTTCCATTTAAAAATAATGAAAGAGATCCATGAGAACCGATTTAAGTGCATTATAATGTGTGCTTTTAGATACTAAGCAACCGTTGAGCCATTTTGTTGAATACGTATTTTTAAGCTTATAAATCCATCCTTCATACTACTTCTAAGTAAATTTGCGACCCGCTCGTCATCAGATTTCTTCTCTGATCGTGTAAGATAGTTGAGGTTTGCCACAGTTTCATGTTCACATTTTAATCACTTATAAAGTAACAGACGACGACGAGAAGATGCGTTTATTAGCGTTTTGCACACTTTTATTGGTGGTCATTGGTATGGCTGCGATTGGTTTACTTCGGTTTCGAGTTTTTTTTGGTGATCAGCCTTCAGTCGACGAACTTCTCGATTTGGCAATACAAGCTGAAACATTAAATCTTGTTCAAGCGCAGAATCATGTGAGTTTATCTCTTCTTCGTTTACATCATATGTCAGTTGCAATGCCTCTAGGCAGCTGTTGTACAATAAAGCATCAGGTACTATGTAGTAGATACTATGAACACTGATATCCCGGTAACTGACATGTGCAGGACGCGTGTACTCACAGGTTTGACGGCTAAGGTTACGATACTGCAGAACATCTGATAGAGCATATCTTGAGCTATTAGGCTGAGAGATAACCAAGTTACAAATATATGCCTAGTTTGAGGATTACATCTTAGTTAGAATGATATGAGAACGACAAATGTTCAGTGTAATGAAATCGAAGAAAACGCTTCAACTTATTTTATGAGACAAGCGCGGGTGGCCTCTTCAAGTACTGGCCACTCAGTTATTCGAGAGTTGCGATGGCAAGAAAACCGTTCATTCTGAAAAGACATGAATTCTTCTTGCATTCTTCTAAATATGCTAAACAGTTGGTGTGAAAATTTTCCAAGCACACATGAATGAGTTCACTGAATGATCGATGGCTTATTCAAGACGTAAAAAATTGCATAACGTTTAGTCGGAAGACGTAAAAACTGTGATGAATGATTTGCACGCACTGTGCATGTTCAAACTGGAATCATTCTCGTCATCCAACTTCGCATATTTCCAATATACATCGTCGTTATTTATGTCATTTGCAATAATCACTACAACCGGTTGGTTTGACTAAGTTATAGTATATATCAAGTTGTTATTCAAGTGTTATTTTGCGTAGTACTGTTGTTTGAAGTCAGTTCTGTTAACATAAGAAATTGAAATGTTTCAAAGAATATTTTTTCAATGGATCGCTGAATTGAAGCGATCACTGAGAATCAAATATGAATTCGGTGAAGTGACGATCTATTTCACGTAGAGTAAACAAATTCATTCAGGTTTCGCCAACAAAAACGTTTTCTTTTTCATTTTGAGGTGATGATCGTGTGGATGATAGCAATATGATTGTTTATTTGATCTATTCCTCAACTGCTAGTATTATCATCTTCCTCATCGTTGCATTACTTATGCATCAATTTGAGCAGCACTTAGATGCACTCTTCGGTGAATCAATCTCCTCTTACTTATTGGTTCATTTGTTCGGAGAGACAACAAACCAAACCCAATGAATAAATTTGATGAGATATTCTAAAATTTACCATCGACATTTTCAGATATAAAAAATTTCCCCATTGAAGTGGTATGAAAAAGATTATAATTATTTCCAAATGCATGTTTACAGCCTGTAACAACACAAATATCAACGATAATCAACAATCAACGAATAAAATCAGCGAAGAATACTTCCTGATGCATTTGCAGAGAAAACGCACCTCTGATCACGCCTGCAATCGTAATCGGGTATGGGATTGAATAACGCGTTTAGGGGTTTTCTAACACGAGTGGAAGTCGGAAAAGCATTTTTGTAATTGTTTTACAACAATGAAAACCTTTTATCCATTTGTTGTTGGCTGATTAATTGTTTTAATTGAGATTTCTTTCGGTGGGAATAAATTGGAACTTTACGAAGAAGAATCAAGGACTGTACGACGTGTGCTACAACCCGCAATTGCTGTTCTTCTGATCTTCTTGGCTTATGTGTTAGTTGGTGCCGTTTTGCTGTATCTCATAGTGGATCCAACAAATTCCCTGGTAACAGATATCTTTGCGAATTACTTCTACGTCTCTACGATAAGTTCGTTTTTGTTGCTGTTCCTATAAAAATAAATCATTTATAAGCACATCTCAGAATTCAAAGTCTTAAGTTTCATCTCTATGCAACATCATCCACGCTAATGATTCATACAAGTTCTTCAGATGTGCTCCTATTTTATCACATCGCTTTTGGCTTGAAGCACTACAGAACTTTTTTCATGCCATATATTTTAACTATTATTTACGAGGAGGCTAGCTGAATCCATTTAGCAATGATCATTATGCAAAAATGTGTTTCATTCTGAATTCAAGCGTTTCAAATCATATTGTGCATTAACATTCGACAATGCATTTATACAGCTGAACATATGGAAACGAATAAATTTACGCGAATGAACACAATTCAAGTGCATTCATCCAAGAACCAACATCAATCACTATTGATCATTGCTGATCGATCAAGTTTGATGGGACAATTTTTGAAATTGCAATAACAACATTAGTCATCGCAATAATAACAATTCGAGTTGAATCGTTCAGGTTCACCTCAATGGATCTATTTGAACAATCCGGATATCTGGCAATTGCTATTCTTGGTCGGTAATGCATTCTTCGGCAATATCCTCGTGTGTGCGGCGAATGTGAATATTGCAAGTGTAACGTTGTACTATCTCAACGCTATCATCTCAGCACGATCTACTAAAAGACAATTACAAAAAGAAAATTGCAGCAGTCTAATTCATTCCTAATAGCAATACACAACTACAACAAAATCATGATGCCATAACATCGCAGCCTTCAAATAGCCGTAGTTAGTGCTGCTTTCATCTATCAGATAACATTTCTCACAAACAATCAGTTTTGCATGTTTACTTAATCGAACACTGCAGTGCATCGTTCTATGTGGTATGACATTGATGAGAACAACCAACTGAGTAATGGTTGTTAATAAAATCATCGAATGAACCAGGTGATTGGCCAGTTGAAAACGACCACAAATCGCGTTTTGAACTTTGCATCCAACGACTGAGTTATGAACATTCACCATTGAAATATTTATTCGAAAGTGCCGATGTTTGTTTGCTTTTGAAATGTGATGAATAGAAAATTAGAAGTTATATACAATAATTTATTTATTCTGGAAGATTGGAATTGCTTGCAGCAGAAATGTTCGATAAAACACATAAAAACGAATGCAACGATCGAACAACGCCCAACATTTCAAAAGAAACACAAATAAAAAGTATGCCTCTTCCACAGATTGACTAATCAACCAACACTGACGGATGCTGCACTCATCTCAGCTTCAAAAAAACAGCGTTGCAAAATAAACCGAACACAATAGATGAGCGCACAAATGAACGTATCGTCAATAACGCTTGCAACACTCGAATAACCATTAATACGAAGGCAATAATTATTCGTCGTCTGCTTATTGTTAGTAAGCAAAAATTGGGGATATTCACCATTTTATGTCAGCGTCTTTCAGTGATTTTCGATAAACTTACAACAAGGTGGTTGAAGATTGGAAATGCTTGGATGTACAGAAGGAAAATGATAAAATGAAGTGCAGTAGTACCCTTTGAGCACGGGAATTGATTAAGCGATCATGATAACATTCACGAATGAACGCAACAAATGAATTATTGACAAGCGCAGCGACTGCATAACGGTAATGACAGCCAATTTCCAATAGCAAACAATAAATGGACAAACAAAGTTTAAGATATATCGTGAAAACAATAGCAGAATTGAACGGTAAAATAGAATACGCTAGAATAGAAGAGCTACGCGTTGAACGCAGAAATTTGATAAAAATGAGTTACTTGAAGAACGGAATTCCCACCGGAATACACTTCGCATGATTATATGATAGTTTAGCAGCAGCATCACTAATGCCGCCTGTAGCTAACTGAACCCGGTCAATCAATGTATTGCTCATTGCTGATTATATTTCAAGCAAAATACGAGTGAATGCAAATTCTGTGATTTAACACAAAAACAGATTGAAGAACAACAGTTAACAACTAAAGAGATCGAAGATCGATCGTATAATAAAGATCACCGGGATTTTTTTAATGGTCAATCTACTCTCACTATAATGATTGAATTAAATCAGCCTAAGAACAATCCGTGAATTAAACCAAAATAGCACAACTTGCTGATTGATTTGATGATAATTTGGCTGACTGTTAGAATATCAATTGCGTAAACAATGAACGACGAATAAAATTTGTACGGTCTGCACTGCATGACGAGAAGATTCGAAGGCTCAAACTCAATTTTTTTTTCGATAACTCAAACTTAAAGACAAAAACTCGAAAAACTCAAATTTTCGATAACCTAGAATCTGATTCGCAAATATAACATGACATTTAAGGAGATGGACAGAGAGATTTAAAAATTAAAATAATAACGATAGAACTAATATCTAAAAAATAGTATGAAGGATGTAAAGCGCATTCGTCATTCAATGATAATGAAATTCGCCAACAACAATCAAAGCCATCACTATTCCATCCATCCACCCACCATTCTATACATTTTCGATGCGTTCAATCTCTCCTCTCATAAGAAATTCAATGAGAAAATTTGCTCTCTCATTTCCTATCCACAAAACCAATCGCTAAAAGAAGTAATTACGAACAAATACCAAAATCACATACTTACAACGAACAATAAGCAAATAAGCAATACAGAATACATACACAATCCAAATTATTCGCAAAATCACTCGAAATTACGTCTCATTTAGTGTTTGCACGGGACCCCAGGATTCCGAGCTATGAATATCGATCCCGGGATTTCGGGAACTAATAAAACCCGAAATTTTGCAAAATTCTGGTAATATATTCATCTCGAATTACAAATCAATCATTCCCAGTTCATTCATATTCAGTAATATCTGCTGTTTACCACCCAATGGGGGAATTAATGGATGAATAATCACACCTCAGTGTCACTTCAGATTTTTTTTCAGAGCAGTGGACAAAAATTTTTTAACAGCACCACTCTTGTGCCATCATCATTGCTTCATCTTCCGTTTATGATCATTTTCCAATCTTGATATTGAAAAATGATTTTACAAGCACTAATCTCATTAGCATCAACAAATGCGTACTCAGGACATATTCACAACTATGTGCTGAACATATAACCAACATCGTTTAAACAATCAAGCACTAATGTGTTTACGTGTTTGTGTTCGGGTATTATAACTATGTTTGCTCCAGTGAATAAAAAATTCGAAGAAAATATTCAGTCAATTAATAATTCTTCCAAATGTCTGCCACTACGGCAGTAGAGAATTTTATGTGGCCAAAGAATGAGGTACATACTGAATTATAAACGTTTCGGGAATATAACATCCTTCCTTGAATAGCGTCAGACTGTTGACGAACTGGTTCGAAATTGAACTCTTCCAACATCATTATAGACATTCACAGAGCAGCCGTCCAACATAGGAAAACTAACGAATGAAATAATGATGATGAATAATAATTAATAACAATGATGAATATGGTAATAATAATGATAAGCAATCACAAGAGGGTGATGATAAAAAATAGTAGTTGAGTTACGTGACCAACATTCGGATGTACCCAACGAACATTAACAACATCCAGACCTGCCATTCGAAGCACCAGAATCAACTGGTCGAATAGTGGGTTGCTTAGCACCATCTTCTTTGTTTGGCATCTAAACACATTTGTTTTAAATAAAATTTCAGTGCAAACAAAATGACAACAAGAAAACCAGTGAGGACACCCAGCCGAAAGTACCACCTAATTTATCATCTGTTCGCAATTACTACACTGAAAAGAAAAACAAAACCGCACCTAGGTAAAAGCAACAACAGAAAAGCTGCGCAAATATATCAGAATCCCATCAGGGCATATGCTACGAATGAATTTTGAGAATACTAACAACGCTGTTACAGTGGAAATTGACTACATACATGGAGACTACAACAAAGGTCAACGAAACAGATTTGACTTGCTTTGGAACAATTGTATTAGAAGCTTCCGTTGACTATCATGAACAGGAATATTGAAAAGAGGAAAGGAAATGAGCCAATGAAGAATACAAGTTTGCATACCTTATCAAGAATAGCCTCAGCGAGATCATAGAAAGCCTTATCGATCTGTATGTTTGCCTTGGCTGATGTTTCTAGAAATCTGATTCCATGGTCATTTGCGATCTTTTCACCACGTTCACGCGATACAACTCTTCGATCGGCCATGTCACATTTATTACCCAACAACATCTTCTCCACATCTTCAGATGCATGCTAAAAGATTAAAAAATATATTATCATCTTTCCATATTGTATATGTTGAGTAAGCGAATTCGAATCATCATTTTTTATATTCATTCTATCGTTCTTCGAGATGAAAAAAAAAAACAGAAAACTAAACGATAAATATAAGAAGGCCATAATCGATATCACCACATAACGCTGAACGAATGAGTCAACCATTAGTAGTTTACTAGCAGCTTAACAACAATCACCAACCTCGTCAATATTCCTCAGCCATTTCGCTATATTGTCGAAACTTTTTGCATTGGTAATATCATAAACTAACATTATACCCATCGCACCCCGATAGTAAGAAGTTGTGATCGTATGGAAACGTTCTTGACCTGCTGTATCCCTGAACGACAACAACCATCTATTCGACAAAAAAGTCAACACTTCGACTGACCGAACAATCGCCGTATAAGTAAAAGCAATAAAAAAAACTTTCACCACTTTGAAGGCATTACATGATGGTAGGAACATTTATATGAACGCTTTTAAAACATCGCAAAACTTCAAAATGACATATAATACGAGATCAATTAAAAATACTAAATGTGGTGAAGCCGCAAAATAGCAACTCACCATATCTGCAATTTTATTTTCTTTCCCTTCAGCTCGATTGTCTTAATTTTGAAGTCGATTCCTGAAAGAATTTAAACAATTTCATTTTCAGTTTGAATATTCAATTCTAATGGAGCGTTCGCAAATGACATTATAATTTTCATCATGACATTATAATTTTCACTTTCATCAATCTGAATCGGAATTATCGCGAATCAAAGCGGCAAAATAAACGAATAAAATGAATGAAATGTAAAATGATAACTGCTATGATAAAGCCCCAACAGAACAACAAACGGTTACAAAACGAGGTGGAAATCAAAGGAGGAATAATTCCAAAATTCTTAGTGATTGTCCTCTTCAACAAACGTGAAAAATAACGTTTTTCAGCTTTCATATCCACACACTCCTCGAAACGAACGCAGTATCGAAATATAATGAAATAAAGCACTTAAGTTGGTGCTTTACCGCAGACTACCGCTATAGTCTATGGACAAGAAGTGATTCAAGACAATTATAATTTGAGGGAAACAGCTAAACAACGAATGAATAACAACCAACCTATTGTAGAAATGAACGTTGTGTTGAAGGCATCATCACTGAACCTGTACAAGATACACGTCTTACCCACACCACTGTCACCTATCAGCAACAGCTTAAATAAGAGGTCGTACTGCTTCTTAGCCATTAAAATCTGAAATAAACCATTCACTACCTCATCATTTATCTTTCTACTAACCAAATCATTTCACGTCATTACAACCACTTATTAGCAAAAATTCAAAAAACAAACAGTATCACAGAGCAGTATCACAGAAGTGAAACCTCATCGTCATCATTAGACGCAATAACATATGAAGCAAACTAGTTCAACGGTGACAGTGACAAAATATTTTATAAAAAAATATTATAGCACAACATACAAACAAATAGCACATCTATCTAAAAATCAATAACAGCTCTACGCTTCGCAAGATGCCCTTCGTGCAACGAGCATTCGTTTGCTTAATTAACGACTTTCAAAAATTATATCGCAATCCTCCCTCCGTCTCTCATCACCGCAATTGATCGCCGCCTCATACGTTCGTTCGCTTTCAGCAGAAACAGAAAATGCACTTACACGACGGCCTCAGGCTTCCAATGAAAATAGAAAGTAGCTATCTGATTATCGATTGGAACGAGCACTTACTAGAGACGTACGAACGTGTAAAACACTGATTCGGTTCGCTTGTGTGTATGTGTATTGTTGCGATGCACTGCATGTGTTATGACATGTCTCATAGCTACGTCGTGATACATGTGTAAAATCATGTGTAAAAACAACGAAATAACGATAAACTACGAACACATTTATTTATATACACATATAAATTTCATCATTTTTAGTTATATCACTTCGGAAACTGGATGTGAGATATGCTGCCACTAGGAGTACACAACTGAATTCTTCCGTTTTCAGATTGTTGATATCGGTGAAATACAACTGGATGTAATGATGCAGTATAGGTTGACGCAATCAAAATGGCATTTCGTTCGTGTGCAGTCGCAGCCATATTACAGGGCTAATCTAGTTAGTGCTAATCCATTATGCCGTGATCGGTTTTATACAATATATGAAGTGCTCACTGAAAAATCAGTCGATAATTGCAAAACACATCTGGCTTTCCGTTCAGAAATACGTTACGCATCACACAGCACCACTTCACAATAGTTACTCCTTCAAAAATATTGCGACCGTTTTTAGAAAGAAGAACAATTATAATCCATGTACTTCGTGACGAATGCGTGAAAGAAGTTTTCATCGGTTGATTTACTTCGCGCAGTCAGAAAGCACGAACTAGCGTTGATTACGGTACCGAAATAAAGTTCGATCAATAAAACAAAGAGGAAATTTGAACATCATGAAATAAAGCTGCTCAAGAAGACATCACAAAATTCGTGCGGATTGTGTCCATCCAGTGCTATCGATTAATGGTGAATGATAGATCACAGTTAATACGTATAGCGATTGATTTGTAATCAACCAAGGAAGTTTGAATCATAATGTAAGCAACACAATCACAAGTAACAGCTCGCAAACTGATATAGGTTGTTTTCATCGCTTATTACTTTCTCATACTCAATGCATTCACTTCAGTACGGTATTTAGGTACGGTGACATCCGTTTGGAATGTACGGTAAGACACTCCTCCACTGTTTGTTTATTATAAGCCGCTGGGTAATTTGGGTCTAGTTCACGAACAAATGCAGGTTGGTAACAGTACCCCATTCGCTGTACCGCTACCAACGGAGCTACTTTTCGCTAGCGCAATAGCTCGATACTGTTTCAAATAGTGAAAATTTGTAGCGATATCTTTCGTTAGCGCTTTGGCAAGTCTTTTTTTTTCAGCCTTCCGTTAACTCGCTACTTTTCGCCTGCAAAGGAGTGCTTGACATCATTCTTGACATCATCATATTAAAAATAGATATTTGCGCTCTAGGCTTGACAAATGCATTCGGAGTGTTCAATAACACTCCGAATGCTCGTTACAAATGCACCAATAGTGTTCCGTCTGTGGCTCACCAAGCTATTTGGCTTCAACTAAGTTACATGACAGTGCAGTGATGTTTTCTTCACATTTCTTCTCGCCAGAAAAGGATATGAATATTATTTATTCGCATAATACCATGCGTCATAAAATCTTTTTGAACGGTTACAATATGGCGAATATACTGACCCAACTGTTGCTTGAAAGAGGAAAAGGTTGAAAAAAGAAAAGGAAAAATTAAATTGTATGTACATTGTCATACAGTGAGACGATATCAAGTGGTTCAGTCATGTGATATCTGAATCAATAAAATGAGCATGAATAAAATTAGCTGGGTAAAGTAACTTCTTCTTTCGATTTCTCTAGCTCCTGTTAAATTGTTAGCATAACTTTTACGCGGATATGGAAAAGGGCATATTCTAGAATGAACGAATTAGGTTAGGTACTTTGCTTAGTAGAGATAAGGTGATGAAGCTGAACGTTCGTGATACTCTGGCGTTAGCTTTTTAAACTATACTGGAAACGTGATGATGACATTTTAAACTTGCGCTAATCATGACGTTCTGAACGAATGAAGAAGGTTCTGGTTATTGGGGGATTATTTTTACCAATTCCAATCAATTTCGTTTGTACTGGAGCTAGCGGTAAAAACCAACATAATGATCACTGGTTTACAGAATCAAGTGTGATTTATAAGTTGTTGGAGAATGTGAAGATCTTAACGCTGTTTGCAAAAATAAATAAAAAAGAAACATACTGAGTCTGGAAGAAGTTAATAAGAATGAAAAGGGGTCACAGAACGCAAACTTGAGTTTGGTGCAGATTTGGTACATAAAAAACGTAAAAACACTGCCGCAGCAGATTCGATAGAATTTGCAGTTCGGCATTTTTTGCTAGGATCCTTCCTCATCTAAATGAAATACCTAGTTTTGCTAGCATCGAAGTAGAACCGCAAAGATTGATCTTTCAACGAACAAGCCACATTGGAATCGAAAAAAAAAACAACTTATCAACTGTGAAATAGATTCTCAGTTTGGCAACAATTATTTCTTCCAAAACTGCAGAAATTGAGCAAGTTAATAAGATGGGTCGATAATTTTGCGAAATCATTTTAGGATCTTTTCTTCGTATAGGTTTGACGATCGTTGATCTCCACAATAAGGGGTCTGTTATGATGAAAGCCAAATGATTCAGGCTCTCAGACGATTGCTGCCAGCAAACTGTTTTTTATCTCTGAATTTTATTATCGTCACTCCGTTACTTTTTATAGACTGGTGCGTATTGCTGGGCAGATTTTTTGTTTTTAAAGAATTTTAAAAAATCGCAACTGTTTGATGGTGCAATGAGATGCTTTCCTGGATGAGTCAGCCGTGCAACTGCACTTGAAAATAGCGATTAGCGGACCAGTCACTGAAAATATGCATTAAAACGATCAAAAGTATAAAAGCAATCAAGTTCATAATATGCGACTGATATGAACAATGTTTTATGTGAATGGTACACAACGTAAACGAGTAAGGAAAATGTGGAACCAAAAATTGCTTATTAGAGAGAAAATCTCGAAAAAAGCAGTGAATATGTGGAATTTGGTTGCGCAAAAATGATGAGAAATTATTGGCGAAAACAACGAAATGAATCAAGCAGCGTTGAAAAATTCATTGACTTTAGGCCTATCAGAACTGGAAAGGACAATAAGTGAACTTTTCGTAACAAGATTGTTCATCAGAAAATGGTGATAATAATGAAAAGCATACTGAAAGAGCACTAATGGTGTCAATAATGCAGCGGAACATGTGAATGGATATATTGCATGCCTGCTGCCGTTCTTCAAGTCTCAGCAGAGAAACGAATGAGTGCAATGAGGCATGAAAAAGAAAACAAGCAAAATGAATGATAGCGAAGAACAAATATCTATCTATCCATCTATTCCTAAAAGAATCGGATAAAATAAGGTTACACGACTTATTTATTTATTTGCACAATGAAACAACTAACACGGCTTGAAGTAACATCATTCCTTACATGTTCGTTCTATTTGTCTTGATACCAGAATAGGGATCGTTTAATCGTTGATAAGTGGCACATTCAAAGTATCAATCAAAACTTCAGTCAAATTTTCGCAAAAAATAATAGTAATAACTATCTGACGAGAAAACGTCACAAACTTACACTCCTTTCTGGATGTAAGAAAGTAACACCGACTCCGAAATTATAAGGTTATGATATACTAATACAGACAGCTATTACGACAGAAAATAGATAAAAATATCATAATGATAATAATAATATTTCATAACACTGCTATCATGACAATATCACAGCGCTTATCATAGTAACGAATGCGATGTAATTATGATATGAGAAACGTATTTATGTTGTAACGATGAGAACATATGATAATAACATCTATAGGCGTAACAGTAATAATAATGAAGGTGGCAGCGATAAAAAAGCAATGTTTCTATTCCCTTCTTTTCGTAAACTCATCTATTCCGCTCTACATTTGTTCTGTTTTTCGCGTCCCTTTTTCTAAAACTGTTTCATTTTTTCCTTCCAACAGACAGAAATACAATAGCACAAGACTTCAAGTCCCTAAAAATGATATATCATGCCGGTTTCAGACTCATCAGCATGAGAAATGGCGTCATCTAAAAACGGCATAGTTGATTAGAACAGTTTGATATCACTAACGCTGATCATGGTTTCTCTGGTTTTGGGATGCCATTTTTAACCAGTTTGCTATCTGTATCTTATTTCTAGCACTGTCCGTTGCCTTCAACATTTCATAAGGAAGAAATTATCTGATTTGATGAAAGAGTCAAGATAAAAATATTTGACCTGAAAGGATTCTTTTTGAAGAGAAAAATTAATAAGCTGTTCAAATAAAATCAAAATCACATCAAATTGTTATTCTTCTCACCTATTCTCCGATGACGCCAAAACGTTTGAAGAGCAAAGAAGGGATAAAGAAAGGTAAAGGTGACGATGATCCCGAAAGTAGTGTTGTGCGAGGACATTAACAAACTCTTAGCAGCATTTGCAGAACAGGGTAACGGAGTTTTGTGGGATTGAAAAACCTTATGAAGGGTTTCACTTGTCGCAAGAGTATTAAGGCTCAAACCATCAACGGAGCAAAGCTTGGCGATCATTTTACCAAATGGATCAGTAGTTGGTGCAGAATCAGGTTTGTTGAATCTGGTAATAGGTGGGCCTCTTGTTATCTCCGAGGCGTTTGTTTCGTTGCAAAGTACTGTGTCGTGCTTTGTACAATGCACGAGAAGTTTTTTCGTGGACGATCCTTTGGCTCTTTTAATTTCACTTTACATTTCACAGTTGTGCTGTCCTTTTTGAACAGATACTGAGAATGATTTCCGCTTGCGTCATACTTTGGACGAATTTGCATAATTCGAAGACATAATTTAGAGTAAATACGGAATAGACGGACCTGGAAGATAAAGAAACTTTAATAACGAACGTGAAGTGACATTATGAAATTCTTGGTCACTGTTTCGCGAAGAAAGCCGAGGTGGCGATAGGCAATGAATCATCTTTTCATCACCACATGGGTGGTAAACAGCAAATATGAGTGCATACGAATGAGGTGGAATTTATTAATGCTTGATTCAAGATGAGTATACTACCAAGTTCATGCAAAATGCCACCTTTTGTATCAAGTCCCGAAATCCCGGGATTTTTTTTTCAAAATATTGATCCCGGTATCGGGATTTGAAAGTCGGGATTACGGGATCCCGTGTAAACCCTAGCAACGCATGCTAAAGTTGCTTTATTGATGCTTTCTTGAAAAATGCTCAAGCGCAGTTGTATTGTAGGCATAGAAAGTGGTGAAGATGACCAATGATGAAGCAGTTGACGATGGCATCCGAAGAATATTTGCACATTGACGGGAGTTAACGGCATGCATCGCTAGACCAGGGACATCATCGTCTGTTTATGTATCGTTTGTTACTGGTATCGTCTCTTTATTACACTCTTTGTTGTTATCAGTCAGGTATTATCATAATCATCACTCACTTCTAACATCTTTATAGGTTTCCTTCCCTTATTCTCATTCAATTCATCGTTTGCATTCGTTTCAACGAATATAATTTAAATTTTTTCTTGCCTTTCTTCAACAGTTTCAGCATGAGTCTCATTCGTCAACCACTGCTTAGGAAAGCGCACTGATCATGAACACTGATATTGATATCATATCAGACATCAATGAATTGATACTATTCATTGTCACTGCCATTGTTGTTTAAGATTATAAAAGCGGTCGTTGTTGATAATATCGTTATGATAATTTTTTAATGTAGCTCAAGATTCGGGTATCCATTATTCAACTCAAACTGATGTTTCACTTGCATTGCATACGGTCTGCATTTTTTTGTACTTGTCAGTTTTTAAATGTTTATTTTACTCTCCAATATGCTCATTCGTCTCTTGGGCAATAGCGCACTATTGCAGAGATGGGCAATAGCGCACTATCGCTACTTAGCGAAAAAGTTACTTCGTTAGTAGCGGAATAGCTATTCCATTGTTTCACAGGTGGCGATAACGTGCTATTGCCCATTCCTGATTGGTAAAGAAGTTGTACTGCTTGGTAATAATGTGTTTAGTTGTTGTAAACGCATATTAAATTAGGAAATTTGAATAAAATATTCAATGAAAAAAAATCAATTGAAGTGAACAAACAGACAGAGAAGATGATATCAGAATCTCTTTTTATTTGCCATTATATCATTCCATCACACTCACACAAAAACGATTAACTGATAAAAGACAATCACTTTAGGAAGGTCTTTAATGTTTCTTTCTAATACACAGTGAGTCTATTCACTATAGTATATAAGTAAGATGTTGCGGTGATCGGGGAATTTCAGCGACCCCGTCCCCGACTTTTTTCAAGTTGACTGTATTTTCAAGTTTCCCAACTGCGAAATTTCGTCCCCGACTTTTCCCCTCCTCGCAACACACTAGTATAAAACCAAGCCATAATTGTGAATAACCATTTCAGTCATCGTAATGTATTATATTTCATGGTTAGCAAGTTAGCGAGCGTTTATCAACTGAATATTTCATCGCATGAGAAATTTTACCTCCTTAGTTCTGAACGAATTTTTTGGAAACAGGAAAATGACTCCATTATATAACAAGTGGGCATCAGAACAAAACGGAATGGGCATCGAAAGGAAAACACGTATCTCAACAGCGTTACGCGTCGATGCGAAATGTTTTCAAATGAGCTGTGATAGGAACAATGCTAAGGTTTACTCGCTCAGAACTGAATCAACACAGCAAACGATTAGTTGGATCTATTTGGATATACTGCTTCTTTCATATTAATCAAATAGAGCACGATTTCATCAAAGAATCCCATACATTTGTCTGTTTTGCATTGTGTCGCTTGTCGAATAAATTCGAATACGCTGGAAAAAATCATTATGATGCAGTTCCTCATTTAATCCGTCAGGGTATCTACGTGTTTTCGTCGTTTTGTGTCAAATTTAAAATCATCTAACTTCCTTTGTAATGTATAAAAGAATACGTATTGTTGGCCGATGCTGCGAAAAGTTGTGCATTATAAAGATTGCAGGTGCATGTTGTAAAAGTTCAGCGGAAAATAAGAAGGAGAACATTTCGTATCGTTTCGATGAGAATAAACGAAGTGTTGCTGGAAATGATAGTGTGCCTGCCCGCCGAGCCAATCAAATCATAACATCGTTTAGTATGATGATGGTATTTCACGAGAATAATCAATGTTTAATCTTTTATAATGGTCGTCATCCTCTGCTAGAGTAACATCTATCTCTCTCTTCAATCCGAGTTGGTTTGACGAACAGCTGATGCTTGTGTCTATTTCTTAACATCATATTTTACAACGTTTGAACGTCATCACATCTAATCAACACCAGCAATACGTTAACGAGCCGGCCGAGCAGCTAACTTCTTCAACAATAATAATTTCACTGAGAGTGTGCGTTGCGGCCTGATCCGCGGCCATATCAACAGCCAGCCAGTGGCAGCAGCAACCACCTTGACTTTTTCTTCCCACCTCCTTTATCCCGAATTGAGATGCTCTTTTCGGGTGGTACTGCAGCTAAATCCAAGAAGGACGACAAAAAAGAGAAGAAGCCGGATAAGGGTAAGCAAATGCATATTTTTTATTTGTTTTGCATTGAAACATCTATTTTCACTGAAGAATTTCATTCATTTTTAAAAACGCTAATCCAACGCAATTGCTACGATTCAGTTTATTTGTTGTTGTGATCCTATTTTTATCTTTCAATTTCTAATCTATTAGCCGTAAGCAATATAAATTTTGGTCGCCGGTGATCATCGATCAATTTTTATCCATTCGTTTGATTCTGATATCATTGCTGTTTGCGTATTTGTACAGTAGTTTCGGTAAAATTCTGAGACATCAGTTTGCTTCCGTACATTTGATGAAAAAAGCAAGCAAGAAAGCGGAGATAGGGGGAGGGTGAATATAAATTAGTTTCATCAAATATGTCAAGCTTTTTGGTTGGCCAATGAACGACTGCTCAGTAGAGTGCATACTGAAATATTTAGTGATAAATTCCGAAATGTGACATTAATTCGAGAAGATGATGGACCATAAAACCAGGTTTGTAATACTGTAGTGAGAACGGTAGTACAGAGCGAATATACAAATATTATTTGTGATGAAATTGTTTTTATAATTAGATAACAGCCAAACATAGTCTAGTTATTTTCAGATTACGCTCTTACTGAAAACGATGTTTGTGTAGATGTTTCTGAAATACTGCTTGCTCGATGCATTTGTTGAGTTCTTGAAAAGCTTATTCGTGAATGCATGAATAAACGCATAATAATAATTATTATTATTGTAGTTAAGAATTGTTGTAAGCATGTTATTGCAGAGGACCGTTATGAAATCCAAGAAAATGCTTTTATTCGCTGGGCGAATTCGATTGCGAACGAACCGATACGCGAAATCAGTGATATCGTCGACTCGAAATTCTTATTCAATTTCGTTAATTTGATCACTGGAGAAAAATTGGTTTCTTGTTTTTCTGTTTGTTTTGTTCTTTATGGCTTTTGAAGATCTTCATTTTTTCACCATCAAAAAGTGCATTCTTGGTTCATGTTGAAGTTAAGTATCCGAACGGAGATGTTAACAATGATAATAAATGAAACAGGTGAACAGTGGATCTCGAGCGCAAGATGTCACGAATGCATTGCATGCGATCGATGTTGATGATAGATTTGCACAAGTAAATGTCACCGAATTAATTGATGGTAATTCAAGAACGATTTGTGGTGTTGTATGGCAACTCATTCAGATCTTTTGGAAACGGTATGCAAATATATCGTTTTTTTTTGAACATTTTTAGTAGAATCTTTACTGTTTACTATTCATTTTTATGTGTGATGAGTTAGTTGGCTTAGTTCTTAACCCAACATTCTGGGAAAAGTTTCTTTTTTTCAATTTTTTGGAAAACTTTTCTAAAAAAAGCATTTAAAAAAACACGTGCTGCTATACCGTTTTCGCAGACTTTATTCTTTGTGTCCATTTAAAGTTACGCAACGAACGACATATGTTACCGTTCAAAAAAAGGATATGCCAAAATAAGTTTAAGTAATTGGCCATTTGATCTCAAGGCTTTTGTATGAGCATCTCCAAAAATACTGCCTGTGCTAAACGTATCCACTATGCTTCTTCCCAGTAACTGAAAATTTTGAATGTGTCGATCAGCGTGAATTCTTTCGCGCATATGTACCAAGTTTTATTTTGAAGGTATGCGCCTGATGCAGTGAAAGATCAAAAGCTTATTGAGGTGATCAAATGTTGGTGTGTTGAACGAACGCAGCCTTTTGAAGAGGTTCAAGTGAATGATTTTACGTCATCGTGGAGAGATGGATATGCGATCAACGCTATTCTGCTGTCTTACAAGTAAGCATTCTATTTGTAAGCATTTTGTCTTTATTCTTCGTATCAATTTTGAATTACGCAATCAAAGTCATATGTCACCATTCAGAAAGAGGATATGCCGAAATAAGTTTATATAACTGACCATTTGATCTCAAGGCTTTTGTATGACCATCTCCAAAAACACATTTCATTCACTCCAAATTGTTGTTGACTATTCGTAAAATTCTTCTCTCTCACTTACTTATTGTGCAGCTCTGAACTGTTCGATATGGATAATGTGAGGGAAATGCGAGGTGATGAACGCATCGAACATGCAATGGGACTTGCTGAACGACACCTTAACGTCCCGCGGCTTCTAAATCCCAAAGGTGTGTGCTTAAAAAATGTGATTACTCACTTGTTCTCGAAGTGCATTAATAATGCAATTAAATGAGCGATGCATTTCAGATTTTCACAGTGAATATTTGGATGTGAAGAGTGTCGTGACATATCTGATGATGATGTATTTGTCGATAAATGTTCAAGCACCTGAAGCACCCGCTTCATCCAGTAAAAGAAACGATCGCAATAGTTCTGCTTCGCAATCTTTAACAACAGTGATATTGCGAAATGATTCTCAGGAATTGCCGCATACTTTAGTTCAGCGAGCATCAAGTTCACTTGTTGCTCGTCCAACAGTGCAACGACGATCCTCGATACCAGTTAACGTTTCAAAAAATCAGCAACGGCCAGCGGCAATCCAAACTGCTCAAGGACAGTACGCGGCCACCGGTTCGCAAGCTATGGCTACTCAAGCAGCAGCAGCATCACAATATTTACAACAGCAAAACACTCAAGGACAATATCATGCTGAGCAGAACACTCCACTTCAAATGCAGTATTCAACCGATCAACAACAACAACAACAACAAGCTCTAACTGCTTCTCAAGCTCAACAGTATTTATCTGGACAACAAGTAGCGTTGCAAGCACAGTATTTAGCCGAACAAGCAATAGCTCAAGCCACAGAACAGCAGATCGCATCTCAAGAAGCATTGTTGATAGCAGCCGCAGCTGTAGCAACACAACAACCAGTAGTATTGCAGCAACAGCCTGCTGCTGCTGTGCAGATACAACAATCCAACCCACAAATGGTCGCAGCACAGCCGTCATTACCCCAGATTGCACCTGTTACATCTTCAGTTCTAAGCGATGAATATGTCACTGAACAACAACCTTCAACTGAAGCAATTGCTGACGAACCAGCATCTGCAATAATCGACTCCCAAAAGTGTGCGCCAACCTTAGAACCAATGCCAGTTGCACAACAATTACCGGTTACAGTGCAGCAATCCGTAAATGTGCAGCAAGCACCGATTCAGTCATCGATAGCCATCATTCACACTCGCCATCCCTCAGCCGAAGATCAGATGATGTTGGAATCGAATGAAGATGTGAATAAGCAAGAGCGTTGTTCATCATCAGTCATCAATCGACAATCACTAGACGAGCCGCAGCAAGAGCAGAGTAATTCAGCTCTGAATCGTATCCAACGTACCAGTTCAATGTCTGATCAAAAAAGCACTACCGAACAACAGCAACGACATCACACATCTTCAAATCAGCCTACTGAAGTTTGTTGCAATATTTGGTTATTGATCTGAAGTCACTTATTTCATGGGATATTTGTTAATGCGATGCATTTACTTGATAGAGTATTGAAATGCGATCACGAAAGTCATCAAGTTCGAGCCAAAGATCGTCACGAAGAAGTCGGAAGAGTACCGAAGATACGATCAGCGAATACGAACTTTGTTTAGAGCAAGTGTTGGCATGGCTTTTGGAGGCTGAAGAGCAAGCCAATAGTATGGGATCGGTTGACGAAACTGACGTGAGAAATTTCACTGAGTGATTCATTTTTATACATATTCATTTTAATCTTCGTTGATTTGAAGCAGTCGAATCATCTAGTTCTCTGAGGTATTATGGTGTAATAATTGGTGGTATTCAATTTGAAAATTACAATGTGAGTGTAGTATTGAGTATAAATTTATTTTCGATTTAAACATCACCATCGTTCAGTAAATGTGTTTATTTATGCGATATTTGATACTCGAAAATGCTATTTTCAGGTAGAAGTGGTAAAAGCTCAGTTCAGAGAGCATGAACAATTTATGCAGTCTTTAACCGAAAGTCAAGATAGTGTTGGTCGTGTTTTGCACAGGTTTATTTCTAAATTTCATCTTATGAGCATCTTACACTTTAGTACTAAACGGAGCTATGTTTTAATGCGAATGATTAATATGTTGAGAAGAAAAGGAGATGGCTCGATAATTGTACCTTTTTTAGGGTGTTTCGTTTCACTTATTGAGTAGAATGCTTCACAATTGAGCAGTCTAATTGCAGAGGTCAACTTTTGTGTCAAAAGTTAGAAGAAGAAAAAAGTGCAGCGATTCTTTCACAATTGTTAATGGTGAATTCACGATGGGAACGTGTCCGTGAACTTGCAATGAACAGACAGAACTTGTTGCAGCAGCGTCTTAATTCGTTGCAATTCAATCAACTAGAAGCCATACGGTTCGTGATTAACCATCGATATATCTTTTACACACCCCCAATTCCTTCCACAAATAAACATTCTCTTCACTATATTTAGCGAGACACATGTGTTTGCTCTTAATGTTTAGCCATTCATCTAAACTGTCTACTTTCAAGTTTTACTTGTTAACATTCTGCGCACGTGTAAATTTCCGAATAATTCCATCAAATTTAGGAATTGGCTTGATAAGATGGAAGAAGAGATTGAGAATGCGCCATTAATTACTCTTGATGCGGATGAGGCGCAAAAATTGATTCTCACTCATGCTGATGTTCAAGAGAAAATTGATGAGCAACAAAAGGTTATTTATTCTGATAGTTGTTTAAATTAGATTGCAGTCGCAGTCTGTAACCATTGAATCAAGTCTGATTCGTTGAACGTCATCGACGACGTTTTCGGACGGTGATTATCTGTCTGCTGTGAATGACAGATAGTTACTGTCCTTTAAATTTTTTTATCGACATTTTTGATCTACCAGCAGATCAAGACAAACCCATGGAAATTATGAGATTCATTCAAGTTTATTATCGCTTATCTTTCAATATTCTTGATGTTTTCAATTTCAGTTAGATTATTATTTAGTTCGCAGTGTTGAAATTTCAATTGCTGAATATGATTAAGAAATTCACTACCCAAACTGTATAACTGGCCTAATTTTTTTTTTGCTAAAAATTTTGATCTATCATTAGTTCCAATCAGTTATTGCAGTTCCAATAACTGATTCATCGGATTCACATTATCAAATGATTGATCAAAAATTGAAAGTGATTATTCTTTTAGCTTGTACGTGCATTATCCACATTTGTTGCGGTTGTTGATGATACGGACACTCAATTGTCGTATGAGAATCTTGAGAAATTGTTGCATTCTGTTGGAGAAAGGTAATCAGAACAATTTATCTCACTCTATTTCAATATTTGTTATTAACATTCTGTATGGACTTTTCACCAGTAAATCTCTATTTAATTTCTTAAAAGATCATTGCTTTCGAAAGTGCTCATCATTTGGCAGTTTGTCATCATGCAACTGAAGTACCATTCTATTATTAAGATGGATGGTAATTTGTGAATGGGCAGAATTAAGAACACGTCAACTGGATGGTCTTCCGGCGTTGATTACTCAATACAAATGTGCTCAGCAACAGTTATCTGAGTGGCTTAGCAATCGAGAAGAGGTGAATTTCGAAGTTATACGAGCAGTCGTTTTCGGGCAGTTATTAAGTGGTGTAAACATAAAGTTAGTGCAAGGTTTAGGCACTGGAAAAGTTGTGTGCGGTAGAGCGATTGACGACTGAAGCGGAGGTGACTGAGCAAGTGAGGTATGTGCAGCAGTTAGAGTCAACACTTGAAGCGGGTCATTCGGATTTCATATCACTTTCGCAGTTGGCTGTTGACCTGGTGGCCAAATTGGATGCTTCAAATGGTGCGGCTGCGAATCATGTCAGACGTGAGGTGGATACGATTACTCAGCGATGGGATAATATCGTTACGAGGATTGATCAGCAATCGCAAATGGTTCGTTTTATTCATTTACACTCTCTATTTTCATCATTAATCATTGCCTTGTGATAGGTGAATCACTTATATCAAAATCATATATTGTAGTAGAGGAACTGAACCAGAAACGAATATGAACGTTTCAGTATCCCTAGCAAATACAGTACATGCTCTCATATCTGAATCCTTCGCGAGCAGGGCTTGTTCGTATGATGGAAGTCTTCGGATAGATTGATTCTTATAAATCGCAGCAGTGCATACCATGTTGCCTAGGTTGAGGGATGAGGACGCGATTCATGTGCCACTTTCCCCGTCCAATCATCCAAATGGAAAAAATAATCTTCAACTTTCATTTGTTTCGTGGTTGTCACTTCTTTCTGAAGCATGTCTTTTCCGTAGAGAATAAGCTGTGCAGACCACTTGTAGTATTTCTGATTCATCATTTTCTGATTCAGCATTGTCCTTGAGTTTAGCATTCTGGTTCAGCATGCATTTGTTATTTCTTGGTCATCCAAATGCTCATGACCAACAATTTGAGCGCTTCCGAAAGAATCCGCTCTTCCACATTACTTTCACTCAGCAAATCATATTCGCGAGCATAGAACATATTTCAGCGATACACTCCTCCAGTTCTTCGAGTTCAGTCGTGTGAGTTTAACTATCCCATGATCTAGCAGTCCACTTCATGAGGTTCACGCCTTTCAAAAATTCTTGAAGTGGTCTGCTTTTTTCATCAGCCAGCAACGCGGATTTACGGAGATGTTTCCGATAATGTTGCTTCAGGCAAGCGGTAACACCTTGATCCATAGGTTGGATTGAAGCAGTTACCTTTGCTGGAAGAAAAATTGACCTTATGCTATCATGTTCAGTCGCGAATTCATCTTATTAATATAGCCTTTCGCAGCGCATTCATTTCTGACAATGTTTGTTTCACTGTCGGCATAAAGTTCTCATGAAATGATTTCTTGAAAATCGTTTCATTCATCCACACATTGCTTTGACTCGAACACATTACAAAGGAATTGCTCTGAACTGATTTTCTTTAAAGCATCTTGATTGTGTGCGTTTTTCCACCATATGAATAGACAATTTTATTTAATCTGATGCGTTGAAAGAAGCATTTAACGTAACTCTTGATATTTGCGAAATCTCCACCACCAGCCGATACTGGCAATAAAGTAAATATGTTAACCAAATTGGAGCAAATCATAAAAATCTTTAGCTTTTCCTAACCAGTCACCGTTAAACACTTTTGTCTTCGTTGCCTGAACCATGTATGTACAACCTGATTCAGTTTTTCTGTATGATTAATCTTTTCTTAATTGATGCTAAGACTTTCATCATTAGCGCGCCGAATATAATGTTGTATTTCTTCTTCTTTGTCCTTAACTTCGGATATCGCTGCTTTCCTTAACCAATATTCTTCTTGAATTACTAACTAAGATAAACCATCCTAGAGTAAAATAAAACCCTTAGCCGTAAAGTGAAAATGTACCCAGACATATATATGCAGTTTAGTCTCGCAGTGGAACAGCAAGTGCAAGTTCATTTTCTAATCGTGAAAACTGTATCCAACTCGCAGTACCTTACAAATAGCAATGAATGTCAATTGGAAAGATTGCTGTGTCATGAGGATTATAGTTATAACTATTATTCATCATTACATTAATACTATATTGTATGCACGATTTTTTATTCATATTTTTGTATATATTCCTTGTAAGAGTCGTATGATGTTTATTTGACCGTCTGGATATGAGAGGATTGCCCCTTTTTTCTTGATACGACGTTTAATCGGATTGCTATTTGAAGTTGGTAAAGAGTGGTAAAGCTGAAGTACGCCAGTTACAGCGTGAACCTAATGAAGGTGATCACCAAATGCAACAACCCCCTACATCACCAGCTAAACTTGTAAGTTGTTGTTATGATCACAATGCATTTCTCTGTATAAATTTTGTCTGTTTCAGTCAACGGTTCAATTCACATCGTTCGAACCAGTTGAAAAAGAACTCGGTACTTCATCAACGTCAACTGTATCTTGTAGTACAGTCATATCACCGGTTGATATCTTCATCACGAACGTTAAACGCGTTTGTGACAATCTTGAACCACTGATTGAGTGGACGAACAACTTCTCAATTTCGAAAAATTTTGACGATATACGACCAGTCATTCAGATTTGTCAGGTAGAACAGTCATTATCAATTTTGTTTGTTCTTTGTAAAATTAACTTGTTCTGTAATGGAGCTGCTCCGTTCAGCGTAAGTATCATCAGCTTGTTTCGTTCGCTGAATGCAACGATATACAAACAACATTCTATGATATCCATTCAAATTTCTTCCAACTTAGCGTATTTTGTTCCATTTGCCTCCCAAAAAATCACCTCATTTCTTCATCTACATCAGTGAGCGATAGTCTTGAATTGCAAACGAGTTTTATCACAGAAACAACCTTCGTAATTGTCGTAGGGTAAATTACGTGAAATCAAAGAGAAAGAAGCTGAAGTGAACGAACTTCATGCCGAATTGGAACGTATTCATAATTTGGATGTTGGATCTGCGCAACTGCATCTCGCCAACGATACATTCGAACAGTTCACTCGAAAGTGGTCTCGTATTGTCACGAAAATATCTGACGCATTGAATACACTCTCTGCACAAGCTGAAGCTTCGTCTGGTTTGTTCATTCTTGTGCAATATTCATTCTCTATTCAACTATCAATATGAATTGATTACATCTGATAACGAAGTTCTAATTGAATATCCTCATAAAGTTCAAAAAGCATTCATATTGCTCATGAGAATTGAAAATACACCTAAACCAATTCAACTAATTCTGTCAGTTGACAGACAGCAGCATGAAATTAGATAGTCGAAATTCTCTTTAACTTCCTTTTTTTTAAATTTCAGATGAGAATTTCAACGAAAAAACAAACAGAATAGCCACCGAATTAGATGATTTCTTCGATTCGGCACTGCAAATCGTTTCGAACTGTTCACAAATTTCGGCCGCAGAGCGTGAAACACGTCTGAAAAAATTGCGTGAACAATTGCGCGATCAAGAAAAAAATATTGCATTTCTGGATACGAACTTAACAGATCGACAACGAGTGACTTTTTATATTCTTTTTTCTTTTGTGAATGATTCTGCCATATAATTTCTATACTGGCTCTTCGAATTATCCAACGCTTCTCGATAAGTGATCACTTCGTGTTCTTTGGCATTGGTTTTATTGCTGATTACATCAGAGTGATAAATGAGCAGTGTCATTTGAAGGCGAATATGTTGAAGAATCGAGCCACTGAATTGAGTAATGCGATTGATATGCTCGATGAGAGTGGCACGTTCGTGGATCGTTTCGAACGATTTCTACGTACTCCAATGGCGTCGGCTGGTGACTTGAAGCTGTTGAACGAGCAACTGACAAAGTGTGAAGTTGGTGTTTTTTGTTGTGGAGAGAGGAGATTTGTTCATTGCAGATCAGTTAGTGGCATGGTTCATTGTCGTGTGCCTATTATGCTAGAACGAATAGATGTACTTGAGAGAGTAGGATTGAATGTGGAAAAGAGATGTTGTTGATTGAATTAAGCAGCTGATGATTGCTGTGTTGAGGAAATGCTGAATGAATTGAAAAATGACTCATCGATGGATGCAAAATGTGAGCAACTCACAAAACTTGGCACTGCGAAACGAGACAGCATCAGTGAAATGTTGGAGAGAAGTCGTCAGTTCGATGCGAAAATTTCTGATTCCGAGAACACAGTGCGTGAATTTCGGGAACGTCTCGAATCACTGAAAAGCGAGAAACTCGAATTTCCAGAGCTCGTTGATCATTTCAAGGTTTTGAATTTGTCATTGATTCATCTCTTCTGCTTGCTTTGATTTTTCATTCAAGAATTTCCTCTTTAAATTGATCATTACAACTCAAAAAGAGCTAATTGTCGTTAACGACTTGTGTCATCTATCGAATACCGCCATGTGAATTTCGTTCTCCTTGAAGAGTTGTTGATTTGTTTGTCCGATTTTAAGAAACTACGTAACGATTTTCAAAACGCGTGCGGTTTGCAAAAGGAGTCAACGGGAATGGCAGAAGAGATTGCCTCGTTGGCGGCATGTAGTGATGCAGCAAATCGTAATCAAATACTCGAGCAGTTGAAAGAGCGAACTCAGTCGTGCACCAATGCGTGGAAATCAGTCGAAGAGAACATTGACGAAAGTATCAATTTAATCGAAAAAGAGAATAAACGACTTCAACAAGGTCTCAATATTTCACATGCACGTGCAGATGTGTGAATGTGCAGAAATTTTAATAGAGTTATCGTTCGTTTCATTTTAGGTTTGATTCGTGATTATCGCGATGCTGTCGAGGCGCTCTCTCAAGCAATCGATGGAAGTGCGGAAGCGGCTGATGCTGAAGAATTCAGTGAACATCTTGATGTTAGTCCGTTTTTCGTGCTTTATCTTAAATATGTCTTCTATATTCATTGGACTTGTACACGACAGGTCTGTGAAACATTGGAGAGCTTAGGAGCACAGTTCTGGGACTGTTATTATATTTCATATAGTCGTCAGACCGACTTATTTTCTAACTTGCGTTTTTTTGCATCTCGAATTCGAGCTGTTATGCTCTCTGTCCTAAGCGAATGTGAATTCATCGCTTATTCAGATCGAATAATATCCGATATCAGGTCTAAATGTGAGACACTGTTAATGAAAGATAAATCTTTGCAGAATTTGGAACGATTGACTGAAAAAGTTGAAGCGGCAGGTAGTGCCGTGAGCATAAATCCTGAAGGAGAAGGCTCTCTATCAAAACAGGTATTACTTTTGCTGTTTTATCAACGCTCTCTTTATTTTATTGTATGCATATTTATTGTCGATTGTTGTTTCGTTCTCTTCGTGACCAAATAAATCATGTTGAAGTTTATTGCTCAACTCATTGAGATTTTGTGAAATTTTAACGAGGTCATGTTTATAGCCGTTCAGTATTGTTTTTTTAAGTTTTATTCTACACGTCCAGGTTGGGTGGATAATTGAAAAAAAAAAGTGAAATGATTGAAGGTAGCTGATATAAAGAAGGCACATACGTTAACGATGCAGCGTACCAAGGAGCGTATCGATGAGTTGGAGTGCGCTATTCGTGGGTGTGAACAATTCGAGAGTTCATTAGCTGAATGTCAAGCGTGGTGCAATCATGTGCAATTGATTCTTTCATGTCGTGCCGCCAACGATATCTCCGCATTAGATGTTCCACATGAATACAAAGTAAGCATCAATCATTTGCATTTGCAATCCTTATTCATTCTCTTTTTTTTTTCATTATTCCTCCATCCTCATTCCCATATTCAAAAATTGATCAGTCCAGCTCATCCATCCATGCATCACCAAGCACTCACTGGCCGTACGCAATGCTAGATCAGTCGAGAGAGTCATCTTGTTTCAATACACACCACTTATAGTCAGGGATTCTTTTCAGCTCGTATCTGTCCACGCTAAAATAAAAACGCTACCGTTTTATCAAATATTCATTCATTTCATCTCACCATTGAGTTAATTCATGATGGCGCTTCGTTACTGCAAGTTTCAATAGTCAAAAGACATTTTCTATTTATTAAAGTGAAATGGGTAGTATATTGAAATTTTGAAGTAATTTAGCGATGAAATACATCTCATTGAGCAGTTGTTTGCATCTTATTGGGCTGGTTATATCATCAGTTGAATATTGGCAATTTTTTTTGCATTTAGAGAACGAACAATATCAGGCGATTTTAAGGTGCACTTCTCCTGAACAATACTTCAAAATGAAGAAGTCGGGAAATAGATTCACATGAAAGGTTTCAGTATTTCGAAGTGAAACCATGTTACGTTTGACTAGCCTTTATCTATTGCTAGCCTCAGATAGAATGAAAGCATTTGAATATCATGCGATCAATCTCATTTTAGTTTATATCACTGGAATATCATTAGAACCGAAGAGATGTGTTGTAAATTGATGTTGTTCCAATATGCTTTCAAACGCTTTGTGCCGTTCTTTCCAGCTTTTTTTGTAACGGAATACTCCTATCATTTTAAGATGCATTTTTCGTTTGCATCTGAAGTAGTTCATATCCATAGATCATGTCAATGAAAGAGTTCTTCGATGCAGCAAATGAGCATAGAATGTGTCTATGAAAAGAAGAGTAATCATTTAAGCAATATGCAGCATTATTATCAAATATGGATATTGCTACTGTTAAGCTTGGGTTGATTTGTTGTGAACGCGCTTAAAGCTTTCTTCTCCTTCCTTCACTTCGAATGTTGCACACGTTTTTCTCTCGTTTCAGAATGCGTTCGTATCTGGCACACTCGTTTCGGTGAGTAATTCACTCGTTTACAGTCACTTTTTCGTTTGTTCTTTTCTCCATTATGTTGATGCTTAATCTGAATTCTTTCTTTTGCTTAACTCCTTTTCCTCTTACTTTTATGATTTTCTAAGCTGCTATTGTCTTTTCTCACCTAATGCTTTCATTTTTACAACAAATTTACACTGTCTTTTCTTCGATTAACTAATTCCTTCACGTTGTTTGAAATATTTCATTAATTCTCAGAATTTTCCTTCTCAAATTTTCGTTATTAATGATTATTCACTGTTTGCCATAATAACTTCCAGTTAATCATGCCATTGGAATTAAGTATTTTCGTCAGAGGTTGTACGCAATTAGGAACGAATGAACGAACGTCGTCATTATGAGTGAGCTTAGTAGCAAAATTTTTAGTAGAATTAATGAATTTGTTTGCTGATTTAGCAGTTGCAAACTGAATTCGACGATTTTGAACGTTGCATTCAAAGTTTACGAGAATTCGTCACAAAGAATGCTAGCGACTGGGGATCCTCAGAACGACTTCAGCTTCAGTTGGATCACGTTGCGGTAGGTAATCTCTCATATTCCATCAAAATATAACAAATTTTCAGTTATGAATAACAAATTCACATTTGACTTAATGAGATTTGCGTATTTGCTTTTAACTTTTATATATTGTGATCATTAATTTAAGAGGCAGTTCGATGATTTGATGGCTAAATTTGTCGAGTTCAAGCAGCCGATTGGACTAGAAGAGAAAGCCGAGCGAATAGCGCGCGAGACAGCTGAGATGGAGAACAGCGTTGACGAGCTGACTGGATTGGATGCGAATGCGTGCCCATCGGCGCTTGATCATGCACGTCAGATTAGTAGACGTTTAGCACAGGTTGAACATGCATTATCAACTAGCTGTGAGAGCCTGCTTGCATTTGTGTTTTTTTGATCGAACTACTTGTTTGTGTTGATCGCAGGTAAAAGCCGATCTCGAAGACTTGCTTGAGTCGGAAAAGAAATTGGTCGAAGAACGCATATTAGAACCGGCTGCCGAAGAGGAAATATCAAAGAAACTCAATGACACAGTGGCAAAGTTGAACATAGTTGAACAACGGGTTGGTTGATTTTTACGTGACGATATTCTCTTGAATTCAGTAACAGTTAACATATTTTGTGATTATGCGAGCGGAACGATTTATCTGAAAGTCTAAATTAGCGATTATTCCATTGGACATCTCGTAATGCTTGTTTCATTACTTATAGAGCGCTGATATCGTGAATCGTTTGGAAAAATGTATATCGTTGCTGGATCGTCTGAAGTCTGATTTGACGCATTTGGATAGAATCGTAGACGACGTCGAGTCGAAATTGGGCACTTTCCTACAGTCTGAAAACTTCCAAATCACAGAAGATGATCGCGCCACATTGGAAGCACTTCAAAGCGATCTCAACAAGTATTATTTACTGTTTAATCTGTTCATTTATTCTTGTCTATCAATTTGTATTACACATTCGTTTGATGCCATCCGGCCATCCTTTCAGTTGATTTATTATGCCGATTCTGAATGTTGTTATTATATTTCTCAGCTTCTGTTCTCTTCGATGTTCAGCCTGAACTGTTAAACGAGTATTGGATGAAGTGAATGAAATTCGATTGCAGAAATGAATCATCACTGACATCGATTGAAGAGATCGCTGAAAGTTTGCGGAGAGAATCGGTAAAAGTCGATGATTCAGAGATTGAGAAACGTTGGAAACGAATACGACGTGTTCATGGTGATTTACGTGCCTGGATTGATACAGTTAATGTAAATTTATCAATATCTTCATGTCGCAGTGCCTTTTGTTATCATTGACTGAAATGTATATCTGCATACAAACGCTCATTCCATCATCCATTTTCGAAGTGCAATAGTTAAGCGAATATTGTATATATGATAACAAAAAAAGTTGAGTATTTTATGTTATCGACGGAAATCGACTGAATGAATGTTACAGAGTATGACTGAAGATGGCGGGTCAATGTTGAATCAGTTTGAATCACTTTACGCGAAACTCGAAAAAGCAATCACTCATATGGAAAGCATTGAGTTTGTTGAGGTGAATTCAAATGATGACCTATTGCTGATTACTTTTCTTTGGATGTTCTCGTTTCTTTCTATTTCTATCTTTCTTCTATTTCTATCTCTTATCATTTATGGAGAAGGGATTCATTTTTACTATTATTATCATTATTATTAATTGTTTATTATTATTTATTATTATTGTTGTTATTATTATTATTATTTATTTTTGTTATTATTTATTCTTGTTATTATTTATTATTATTAATTATCATTAATAATAATTATTATTATACGACAGTTCAGTTTTTGCATCTATTCTTGAAGACTGATGTGATAATTTTTGAATCAAAACATTTTCTAGAAATTTGCCGCATAATGTTTTATTTTTGAAGGACTTATCCGAAGCGTTGGAAAGAAATCGCGCTGAGAAAACGTTATTGACTGAAAGATATCGACGCTTACTGAAGACGAACGCGAATGTGGAAACCAAGTTCTCGTTGCCGTTATCACAGGTTTTCCAAAGAAACTCTAAAATTGATCTGCATTTATTCACGCAATCCACAACTATAAGTGAGCATTCAAGGTGCAGTGTAAAAAAGTATTTAAGACGGCTTATAAAGCTATAATCGTAGCGAATATATGCTTCAGATTTGGGTAATTAAATCTTCAGTTGTTTTCTCAAATATTGTTAAACGCTCATTAACGAGTCTAAATCTTAAATTTCATTGCTGCATAAATAAGTTACAAACGCGATATTGTTGAATGATGGTGAGTGTTTAAGTTGGAGGATCGTTGGAATGAGTTGGAAAAGAGATGGGAAAGATCGTGGATGTCTTCTCGGGTACGAGCCAAATCTCCGCCGCAGTTACGACGGGCGGAAATGAAGGGCGACTTCGGGGAACAAATCAATTCGTTATACAGTATTTTTAAAATAGCTAATGATTATATCGATTTTGAAAGCTATCCGGTCACATCAGTTGCGCAGTGGTCCGATCGCATCCAGGTTCGTTCCTATTATCGTTAATTCAGACTTACTTTATTCGCTTTCCAAAGTATTTACATACGCATATGTGTATTTAAAACAACTCACTTCCAATTACGTTCCCGATCAGATTATTTCGAATTTTCATTTTTCTGAAAGGTTCAAAATTTGTTGTTGTTATTGCTGTGAAAGAAAAGTGTGTTTTAGAAGTCGCATAATGCTGAAACAATAGTGAATACTTGATTACAAGCCTAAGTATTACGATAGAGAACAAGCGAATGCGTAATTATCATTTTGGTTTGAAGGATGTTAGTGATTGGTTGGACGAATATGGAGGTTGTTTGAAGCGTGTTTTGGAAGAAGGACGTAAATTAGCGAGTGGCGGTCGTATGGAATTGGATGTGCACGATGCGTTGGAGAGCCTCGATAAAGTTGTCGATCTTGCAAATCAGGTGCTTTATTCTTTCATTTTAACGCTCATATCTTAGTCTTTTTTCTTGTATGATCTTTTTCGCGTATTCTTAAGGTTACTTACGTATACTCCTTTATTCCGCTTGCCTAATTGAAATAAGACAAAATGCGCAGTTCCACTTGCAAAAACGTTTGAAAAGAACGCGTATTTCAAAGGGAAGTAGTGGGATGGGATGCTGGTTCTGTGCTTTTCGAAGGGATATCGGTCTCTGAGTCTAGCCTATTTAGTTGAGGATATATTGGCAGTGACAGGTGGAGTGAGACAAAAATGAGACAGGCCAAGTTATTTTTTGTAGGTGGAATCAGGTGTTAAAGCAAGCAAATCACTTCTGGTGCCAGTACAGGCCAAAGCGGATGCACTTGAGAGGGATATTCGAACAATGCGTGATGTATTAGCGCAACTGGCTGCTCGTGATCTGACTGAACCATCAGTTGCAAGTGTTAGTTGTTTCTGAAATGATAGCTGATATTTCTTTTCAAACGTATCTTTTTCATCACTGAGATGATTTCTAGGTGATTAGATTATTCTTCTAGTGATGATCATCTTTCTTTCATCAGCCAACTTTCTCTCTAAATGCTGCTCGTTTATGTTTTCATTGCTCCAAGATTATTTACTGCCGTTCTTATCGTTATTCTTCTTCTCCCTATTTCCTCGTGTTCATCAGCTGAATTCATTTGGTTGCAATTTATGATTGAGATCATTGCAAATGCTCGATATTAAGCACATCATAATTGATCATTACCATGTTTGCGTTGCAGTGAATCCTGATTAAGCAATACTGCCATCTGTAATATCATCGATGCTAACTAAATCAGGTGTTCTGTACTGATTGTAAGTAGACTCTCATCTTACTTCTAGCAGAGCTGATTGCAAGCGCCAGTGTTGTTGTATGGAGATAGATCATTTTATTCATTATTACTTAGCAAATTTATAATTATGTTTTAAGTCGCACATTTGCGTGATTCATTGTTTTCCCTAAATGAAAACATCTTGATTTCGAGTAGTGTCCTCAATGAATTATATGAACAATGGCGTATTGTTGATCTGTTCCGATTCCTTTTTTAACTTATTTAATATTACAATTTTTGAAGATGCAATTTAGGAAATAGAAGAAAATTGTAGTAATTTTAATATTCACTGGGTACCATTGTTGTAAGTGTAATTTTACACATTCATTCGCGGTCGTCTTTTTAATGGATTATCTAAAACTGTCAAAAAGAACGCCTACAATATTGTTGTATAATGAAAAAGTTTGGCTGTCGTAAAAAGAACTGAATTTGAATAAGTAACACTGTCTAGATGAAGAATTAACTTGACTGAGTGTATAATTGCTGTTGGTTGAAAAATGTGTTAATGAGGGCTTCGAAAGCCATCAATATTCTCAGAGGATGCTTTCATTGGTTGACTGCTTGGTTGTTGATATATTACAGCAGTATTATATATTCATTCACACATATGTTTTATATTCATATATCAACAGCAGTTCTAATACTAATATCATAGAGCTTGCATAAAACCTATTATGTGAACAATGGCTTCAAGAATAGACTTTATTCGATTCCACTTTTTAGTAATATCATTGCAGTATTGTAATGCCTAGATTATCATATGAAATAGATATTTAATATCAACACATATGCAGTATTTTCACTCATCGCTTCATTTCATTTTCAACAATTTCATTATTGTCTTAATAACTGCTCTTTATCGAAAAAACTTTTTGGAATCTTCTTCAAATAAGCGTTTATTTATAAATTTGTGAATTTTTATTTTGTCATGTAGCGCAACCATAGCAGTAGAATCAATGTTGGTTTTTGATTGAATCAATTTTTATTGCTTAATTTGCTTGTGAATAACTTTCGCATTGTCTCATTGAAAGTGATGCATTAATTTTGTTATGGGTTTTGGTTGATATCGAATGGTTGGTTTGTAAAGCACAAGGGAATTGTGAAAGTGAAAGGAGAGTAGGTTTGCACTCGCAAAATTTTGATCGAGGTCTCCTTATTCGAACAGCAGCAACAGTAATCTTATGTTAGATGAATGGAATAGCGTTTTAAGATGATCCAGCAAATATTTTTAGGCAACACAACGTGATTTATTGGATCGTCAAGTGCAGTTGGAGTATTTGCATAGGAAAAGTGACGATGTTCATCGTTGTTTGCCCGGCTCATCACCGAATCAATTGAACACATCGATGAATGAAATTTCTGGGATGGTGCGTAAAATTGAAGAGCAAATCGCAGTTGCGATACGAAAAGGGGTTATTGGTGACGATACGGACGCCGATATTGATGGCGGTTTGGATGTAGAGGGCGATTTGCAGTTGGATGAAAATGTGAATGCAGAGGATATGCAGCAGCAACAACAGCACAATGCTCTTTCAGCAAAACGCTCGCAACAAGCCATGAAAGACACTGATACCGTATCAATGTCTAGTGCTGGAGCTCAGTCATTGGCCTTGGAAGTTCAGGTTCCTTTCTCGATTACTGTTCGTTTTGTTTCATTATTTCGCCTTCTTTTAATCACGGGCATCGGAGAAATGCTACTGTAAAGTCATTTTTGGTTTTGTTTCCATTTTTTGTCAGTTTCAGCTTGTTAACTTTGAATGCTCTGTGGTATTTTGTGGTTACTTTTCAACTGCTTAGAATGATTCTTTTCCTGGTTATTCATTTTTTTTTGTGCTTATTTGCTTCTTTGTTTTTCAAGCACATACTGCATTGCTCTGTTTTCTCTCTTTCTGTAAGCAGCATCAGCAGATGTGAATTTGAAATGAAATTAACGAGGAATAAGTGGATGAGACTGAACGAATAGTCAATTTCATTCTACAGTACGTGCATAAGTGCAAATAAAGCATGTTTGCTTTTTGAAGTTATCTTTATTTGCCGTATGCTTATTTTACGATATCATTTCAGCATTTTGTTTTTTGTATTGTTATAAGATGAATTCATATCTTTTTGCTGTCATAATCATCGCAATTATTGTTTTACTTATCTTTGTGTTCGTTTCAGTTTTCATTCTTCATGTTCGAGTCCTTTGTATGCTTACCTTCTCGCTTCAGAAGTACCTTTTAATCTTTTGAAGGTTTTTTTCTTTCATTCTGTCGATGTTTGAAGAAGTGTCTAGGTTAACTTAGTCATTGACGTTCACCTTTCGATTCGATTCGAATTTGTTCGTGGTCATAGATGAAAACGATCAATCGCTCGATTAACTCAGTTTCCGCAACGAATAGAAAAACCCTTATTTGCTAATGTTATTTCAGAATGCTGCCCTAAAAACGTGAGCTGCATGACGAATCGCGCAGAGTGTTATCATTTCAAAAGGTGAAAATATGTAAATATATTTTTGGCAGTTGTCAATAGTAATATCATACATCAATTGTGCGAATCAATTTTTCATCCATCTGTCTTCTTTATTTATGAGTTTAATTTTTTTAGAGAAGTTCATTGAAGCATTCCTGATGTGCTAATGAGGTAGCGGATGAATGAATGCTAACACTTATTAATATTCATCTTTCTACTTGTGTATATTTACATATCTATAAGTATGCTTCTTCAATTTGCCATATGCTCTCATGAGTATTGTGTTCACAGACAGACGATTCATTGGTTGCTTCATTGCTTGATCAGTCATTCACGTTGCTTTACGTTCCATTTTTCTGCCTTCGCTATCGTATCATACAATGAATATATATATATCTATCGTATAAAAGTGAAGAAATTCACATGAGTTTAGCAATTTAATTGATCGCACCCAATACGCATTCATCGTAACGTTATGAGTGTAATTTTATTGTAATTCCTATTGAAGGCTTCGTTGCTCTATCGTAATATGACAAAGATACTTCCTCTGTAGTTGTTGTTTTGTGTGGTGTTTACTGAATTATTTGTCGGCGGCGTCATTCAGAGTGTGATATAATGCTTAGAGTGTATTCTGATTAAGTAATCATTTTTGTTTGTTTTTGAGTTTGTTTATGATGAATATTCGGTAGGTAAGTCGGTATCGATGAATTGTTAAATGCATTATCCATTGAGAAAGAGCGATGTATACAGTTTATTATTTATTCATTCATATGGCGTATTGTTCCATTTACATATATTACGATGTTAACACACATCGCATTCCCTCCAGTATAAGCCCTTTTCACCTATGCATCTTCTTTAGTTGAACGAATTCTTTCGAAAGGATCTTCGGCGAGTAATTTTTGGGAAGTGATTTTCTGTGACAAACCATAACATTTCACCTTATTGTTAGGAAAATGGACCTCCCAAAAACTGATCCTAGGTGCAGTTCAGCCAGAGAATTTCACATTCGAACAATGGCATTCTACAAGGAACTATGATTACTTTGTAGATTGATATGCACTTGCAGGAAACTGAGGATGAGCGGTCTCGTTTGGAATATGTGAGCAAGTCAACGACACGAATGGATGATAATGGTGAAAAACTGGAGGCGATAGGGTCAATTTATGTGGAAATGGATCGAATTGAAGAAGCACTTTCGAAATCTGATCCATTCCCATATTCAAATCTGAACACCAAAAAACAACAACTTGAGGTATAAATAGTAATTTTATGTATAGAGCAATGCTTCGAGTTTCTTTTTTAAATTTTAGCACTTTAATTCCCCGACAAAATATCGCCTAGTTGCTCCACTGAAGATTAAGTGAAATTAAAGTGCAGATGAAATTTTGTTCAGATGATGACTAAAACCTTAAATCACGTTCAACATGCCATTGATGATTCACAAATGACAATGGACCTAATGGAGAGCGAAGCGGCGCAAGAACGACTGGATGCACTCCGTTATTCCAGTGTGCAACGTTGCAAGTAAATAATTCGAACTCGATTATGAATAAAGTTGATGGCGAAAGAAAGAGTGAAATGAATAAATTTGAGGGAGGTTGATGCACTGATCCGGTCGTGGGATAGTCTCGAGTTGAATCTAGCTACAAGTGATGAATTGGTGAAGGCGTTGGATAAGATGTTGAACGATGTGCATGGTCGTAATAAGTCACCGGATTTGGATGAACTCGACTCTTTGTCACTTTCATTCGAAGATGCATTGCAACGTGCACTCGCACAAATTCAACACACCTCACTTAAGGTTCATTCAATTTATTCCGTGATCAGAAATAAATAATAGCTAAAGCGAATCGTGTCATTTCCCCTGAACTGTCTCCATGAATACCAGATGATCAGTAGTGAATCAAATATCAGCAGTCATATAATTCAGGCTGAGCCAATAATTGCACAAATGGATGACGAGCACGCAGATGTTCTTCGTGATCGATTGCGTGATGTGGGTGAACGTTGGAAGCAGTGTGAGGATGCGGTCAGAGAAAAGAGGCGCAGATTTGACGAGCGACTCGCTGATCAGTCTGAACTCAACAATCTCATCGAACTGCTTGATTTTTGGTAGTTGATAATTTTTAATTATTCCTAGCACTTCTTATACTATAGTACTGATATTGTGATAGCTATGATACATTTTGTTGCATAGAGCGTAACCTCAATAGAAAAATAACTTCTGAAACGATCTGATGAAAACATAAGTAATTGAAGGTGCGATGAAGCAGAAGCCGAGTGTGCAACGGCAATAAATTCGCTGAACGGTTGTGTAATCACGGAAATTAATGATCGGATAGCGGTGAGCTTCTAAACTTTTATAGTTCTTTAATCGCGCATCGATTATTCATCTCTAATCGCTCATCAATCGTTAAAGGAACGTCTTTCGGATTACGAAACAAAACGTGAAAGTTTGCGTAACGTTGAACGTTTAAAAGATCGCTTAGTGAATGCGCAGCTCGCCGATCCATCCACGAAACATCGCACTCGGCGGATTGTTTCTGAACTCGGTAAACGCATCAGCAGTGTGAGTTTATCTTGATTGATGATTTCGATTGTAATTGAATAAATTATATTGACACATTGATTATCGATGAATGTAGAACAATTAATGGTATTTGATATTTGCAGATCAGAGGTATATTGACAGAACGCAAGACTGAATTGGATGCTCTAGTTGATGCGGCTAAGCAATTTCAGATCGACATTTCAACTCTTCAGCAGTTCTGTGATAAATGTGAAAAAGCCATACAAATGTGCGATCTATCTTTTATGATTAATCTTCACGTGAAATAGTTGACTTTGTGAAATTTTGTGTTTAGTGCTCGTCATTTTTGGTAAAAATGTTTGGTGTATATCAAAGATTGGTCCATTTTCGAATATTCATATTGCAAATCTTCAGAGTTGAAAACGCGAAAATTTTTGTTCCATCTGGGAGTGATCTCGATTATGTTCGATCTCGACAAGATCAAATGGATGCTTTGGCAATTTCACTTCAGGATCGCTGGAGGAAAGCTTGCTTGGAGGAGCCACCTCCTGATGATCGCCAAAAAACTGTAATTCATTAGTTTTTCGTTCATCTTAGTATTTTCAGATAGGTATTCTTATTGAAATTGGAGATATTTCTATTCAATCACCATTGTGTTTCAGTTGAATAAATTGCATTGCGTTTAGTTAGTGCGCAATACGAATTAGTTTTGTCAGTTAGTTTATTATAGCTCGTCGAAGACGTGTTCAGAATGTGGCTGAAAGCAAAGCAGAGAATTTCTGAGAAGGCTGATGTACAAACACTCGCGCAGGATTCGTCATCGTCCGGTTCGTCGTTCACCATAGTGATTTTTATAACGCAATCGATCATCTCTCCAAACTGAGTTGATTTAAGAGGCGATGATCGAGGATTCGGAAACGAAGAGCGCGTTAACACCCAACGGCGTAATGGATGAGAAATTGGATCAGTCAGTGAGTGAATATGGAACGTTAAGTGAAGTGGTTGCGGTAGGTGATGAGTGCCAGCCTCAACTGCCTCAACTTTCACATAAGGAGCATACGCTGTTGAATAGTATCGTGCAGTTACGACACTGGCTTGCTGAAACAGAGCGTGACGCTGCATTAACCGTTGACCTCATTGATGTTCAAGCTATACGTGATTCGGTCAATCAGATGCAGGTGAACATACTTTAGATATGCTGATGATTAGCCGTAATAAATCTCTGGTTCATTTATTTTCAAATTTTTGCTATTGAGATGAAGGGAATGTGCGTTTGTGATAGCGTATTGTGCGCTAAACCGGTTTATTTTCGTTTTACTTTAATGCCAATAATGTCAGACTTGTTTCTGAGAGTTTGTTCTGTTACTGAACTAGTCTTACTTACTACTATTTTTTGATCGATCATTTTTGTTGTTCACATTCATGTATAATTCCATCGTCACCCTATAATAATCTTCTGTCATGAATATTGGTTATTTTCATTTCATTTACATCCAGTATGATGAATCCTTTTCAAGCCTATCGCAATCTCACTTTCTTTGTATTATTTTAGGCCTTCATCGAGCAGTTGAGAATTCGACAATTGGAATTGCTTCGGATTTTGGATGAAAGTGGCTCAGAGCTGGTTAGAGAGAAGACTGAATTAACGTTAGGTGAATGGACTCGTGTGTTAAATGAGTGTCAACGACGTAAATGTCAATTGAACAAAATGGTTGATGAAAGCCGAAGTTGGGAACAGTTGAGATGTAGTGTGCAATTGTGGCTAAATGATGCTCAGCAGAGGCAAGTTCTTTTTTAAATACATTCATGTCGTCTTACTTGAATCGTTTCACATTTTTGCATTCTGCTGTGGTTCAGGTTGCAGAAATCTCAGTTACTTACTGTGACTAAGAAATTTACATTCTGCTCCACATAGTTACTCAAAATTTTCCACTTAATCTTTCGCTACACCATCAAATCAGGTCAGTTTTATCACGAGTTTGATATAAATGTGTTCCGGATTCTAAATAGTTCTGGAGGTGAAGGTATTTGAATGATTTGTTTGCAGGTTATCAGACGGTGGTAAAGTGACTGAACTAACAGAGGATGCGCTGCGATCCGAATTGAAAGATGTAGAACAAATTAGTGAGGGTATTGAAGAGATGCGAAACAAAATGACTGAACTGAACGCTCGAAGTAATGCGCTGCTGGATGAATTTCGCGCAGACGAAGGCCACAATTTGTCACATTCAACGTCGAAAATGAACACTTTATGGAGTAAATTCAATGATAAGTTCGTTGCATCATGCTCATTTCTTCTGCACAACTCTGTTTTCACACGCTGCCATGACCATCTCTGTCTGGTTTTCATTGTATTTGTATGATTGATTTGCTTACAATTGTCATGCACTCACCCAATACTTCTCTCCGAATACTAACCCGAAATCAGTGTATGTTGCTGATAAACAATCAATTAGTTCTTTGAGATGATGTCGAAGCATGATCAAATTTAATTCGAACTGAAACGCATCTTTCAACACCAGTGGCAGTGAGGAGAGAGTGAAGCATAAATTGTTAGTTAATTTGCTCATTTGCAGTATTCGAATTCGACGCGCTGTTCTTGAAGCAGCGATTCGTGCGAGGAGTGATTTTCATTCGGCATTACTGCAATTAGAACAGTGGCTTGATCGCATCGAGTCCAGCTTAAGCACACTCAATGAATCAACTTCAAATATGCAGTCACTAAAAGATTCGATTAAACGCAAAGAATGGATCGACAATGAAAAGGTTGATTTATTTTCGTGTTATTCATTCACTTCATCTTCATTTGCTGATTTGTTTTATTTTTGTGCACATCATTGATGTTGATTTAATTTAGTTCATAAAAATTCCATGTGCCAAAAGAAATACGAATAATTGTAGAGTGTTCGTGCTGAGATTGATGCGCATGATGATGTTGTCCGATCGGTTGATCAAATGGGTACGAAATTGGTTAGAAGTGTCGAGGATGTTAATGAGCGTGAACGTCTCTCGAAACGTTTGCAGAATGTTAGTGAGCGATGGCGCAAATTGGCTAGTTTAGCAGATGCGATCAGGTTAATGATTATTTTCCATCTTTGTTTAGGTAGAAATTAATCATCACATAGTCGAAAAACATCAAAAATTTGTAGGTCACGATTGACGAACGCTCAGGAGGAATGGGAACGGCTTGTTTCGCAATTGTCTGAGAATATCTATTGGTGTGACACACAGAGTAATGCTCTTCTTGACGAACAGCCTTTGGGTGGATCGTTGGCTCATGTACAACAGCAAAACGAATTTGTTAAAGTAAAATTTATGTTCATTTGTATATCAGCCGTATGAAAAGTATCTGAAATTGAACATTCTAAAAGAGTGAAGTGAAGTGAACTGTAACGTGTAATATGAAGTTGTGAATAATTTAAGAACCTCGAACGCGAAATAGAGCGCAGACAACGCAGTATTGACGAGTGCATAACGCTGTCACACAGCTACCTCATGCAGCACGACCTGCGTCCACGTATGCACACGCCAAGTGCATTGGCTTCACCCAGTGATGAAACACAACGTATCGTATCACATTTTCATCAGTCATTCACTTTCATAGTTCATTGCGCGATTCAGTGGAACGATGAGAAAAAGATTCAATTCCATCGTTTGCGTTGATGTTTTCTTTCTGGAATTTGTCAGTTGTTAATGCTTGTCTGTCGAGGTCGATATTGCAGTGGATTCGAATGCGGAGTTACGACGTGTTGGTATTCAAATCAAATCTAATAGTGAGAAGCTGTCGAAGAAATGGAATGAATTGAAGAAGCAGGTCAACGTTTGGTCTCGAATCATCGATGATGCACATGCAAAAATGGAACAACTAACAGCTGCGATTGCCGAATGCCAACTTGCTCTGTCGAATATGGAATCGAATATGGAGAATGTTAAGCCTGTTGAAGAGGTAAGTAAGTGGTCGAATCGTTCAGTTGGTTCGTTGCGATGCATAATATTCAAATAGTGACGGATCAAATGAAATTCAGTTACGTTTGGAAGAGCTGACAACTGCTGTGGACGATAGCGATAATCTGAAAGAGTGTTTGGCACGAACACGAATGCACATCGATGACGCGAACGACTGCAGTGGACAGTTGCTCGCATCTGACGTGGATCTCGCACCTGAACTTAGTGCGCAGCTTAAGTCTGTAAATGAAAGGTGCGTTCGTTATTTGCTTGATGTTTGTTAATTCTTCGTACATATTCACTATCGATATCTTTAAGATTCTCGAAATTGAAAGTAGATGTAAAAGTTCGTGTAGCAGCTTTGGAGCACGCAATCGCCGATTTTGGACCGTCCAGTCAGCACTTCCTTATGAACAGCGTTCAACCGCCATGGCAGCGTGCTGTCTCTTCGACTAATCACCTTCCGTATTACATAAAGTCAGTTGTTATTGCACCAGCATATTATCCTAAGTTCCAATCTATTGATCGCAAACTCACTTTGTTTTTTCAGTCATGAAAATGAATTGACGCAGTGGGATCATCCAGTGATGGTTGAAATCATGGAGAAATTGACCAATTTTAATCAAGTAAAATTCAGCGCCTATCGAACTGCCATGAAAATGCGTGCAATTCAAAAACGACTTTGTTGTTAGTTGATTACTATTTTAATTCGTCGCATTCACTTATGATCAATTATTTTGAGTATCAGAGCGAATTACATCATATTTTATTGGATGTGTCAAGTGATTGCCTCATGTTTAATTGCAGTGGATCTACTGAGTTTACAAGAGTTGGATGTTAAGTTGCAGTCGTTGAATTCGGCTTGGGGTGAACAACGACTAGCTGTTAAAGATGCTGTCATGTGTTTGGTACCACTCTTCGAATCAGCACATGACAAATTTCCGCATTTAATTCGTTCCATACCTCTTGCTGTCGATCTTTTTCTCAATTTTATGTTCAACGTTTACGATCCGTATGTGTTCACTACTTTGTATTGTTTGCATTCAATTAATTTCAATCCCTTCAGCATCTTTATTTGAGAAGTTCGAAGCGTATGATTGCATATTTATAGATCACGTGACGGTACACTTCGTACGTTTTCGTTCAAAGTGGCGCTTGTCGTTCTGTGTAACGCAAATTTAGAGGATAAATACAAATGTTAGTGCTTTTTTAATTCGATGTCATTTTTTACTTTGTCATTTTTCTTCGAATTTCAATTTGAATTATTTACAGTTAGCATTTTGTGTTATATGACAGTGCCTTTGATTAATGTTGCATCGTTATTTTTACAGATCTCTACTCATTGATTTCTACAAGTGAAGGAGTCGATCAAAAACGTCTCGCATTGCTTCTATACGATATTATTCACGTATCTATTTTAATTCACATTTTAAACTTTCTTGATTTTAGCATTCCGTTGCAGACGAATAATTTTGGAGAAAATTTGTGACATTCGAATCGTGTGCCGTTGTTGTTTTGATTGTTGACAATTCCAGCAATTTTAAAAGTTTTTTCTTCACTTATGCGAAATCAAGTCGAAAATTTATCGCAAGTCTTGCAGGCAGTTGGTTACATGTGATAATTATTTCTGGTCAGATCGTTGACGCTTTTATCGGGAATTCTCTATGGGATTAATTCCCTAGTAATCACAAAAAATGAACATTAAAAAAATTCTTCCTTGCATTATCACATCATCGTTAACATTTGAAGCATGAATTAGATCAGGAAATGAGTTATGTGTTTCAACTGATCATCTTTAAAGATTGACGGATTACTTATTGAATTTGTTGCTTGCAGATTCCAAAATTTCTTGGGGAAGCGGCAGCTTTCGGTGGCTCAAATGTGGAGCCGTCGGTACGTTCGTGTTTTGAGACGATCAAGTTTGGGCGCACAATATCAGTGGACGACTTTTTAGCGTGGCTAAAGAAAGAACCGCAGAGTATTGTGTGGTTACCTGTTATGCATCGATTGGCTAGCGCTGAATTCGCAAAGCATCAGGTTATAAAGATTTAGATTTGATCTGAACGGTTGTATCCAGATGGAGAAATTACAAGTTTTTGTATATATGGTGTAAGTAGATGCGTTTACGTTTCACGAAAACAAAGTGTTGTTCTGAATGCATTTTCATTCAACGATTTCAGGCAAAGTGTAATATTTGCAAGATGTTTCCGATCATTGGTCTGCGTTATCGATGCCTGCGATGTTTCAATGTTGACGTTTGTCAAAATTGTTTTTTCAGTCAACGTTTAGCAAAAAATCACAAATTGTCACATCCAATGCAAGAATATTGTTTGCCGGTAGGTTTTTTAAATTTATGATGAATCTGATTGAAATTTGACAATATCTAAAAAAGAAAAATGTGCACTTTTTTAGTCTGTAGAAATGCGTATTTAATAGCATTTGTTTGTGCTATGTATTCCAATAACCTGAGGATTGTTCCAATCGCTTATCGTTATTATTTGAATGCAACAGTTGAATTTAGTAGAAAATGTGGTCAGTTTATCATTATTATTATTATTGTGCTCCCAAGAATTCACTGTGTGCAGCAAGAGCATTTGAAGAATTCTAGCTGAAAACTTCAACGACTCTTCATTGTATTATTGATAAAGTTGTTGAGTTGTCGCACATGAAGAAGCGTTTCATTTGCAGACAACATCCGGCGAAGATGTTCGTGATTTCGGTATAATTGTTAAGAATAAATTGCGATCATCGAGTAGAACTCGAATTGGTTATTTACCCGTGCAGACGGTTGATGAAGGTATTCCAATCGAGACAACTGGTGTTACGCCAATCAATCCCTTAACTGAACCTCTTCACAATCAAATGCATCTTTGTGCGCAAAGGTTCTAATTCGTTAACTCTTATCCATCATTTTTCACGCTATCGTTTTTTTAACCACTGGTCCTGTTCTTTTGTAGTGAGAAAAAATGTTTGCATTCAGTCTTATCTCGCTTGTTGCAAATCAGAAATTGTTTTCACCCATTCTATTTTGCTACAATTAATCAGTCAATATAAGGTAGCAGTTTTCTGAAATGTGATTGGTGGAGTTCATAAAATCCCGAAATAAACTGATAAGTGGTGTGTTTTAAATTGTGGTGATGATTAATGCAAAATTGTTTGGTGATTGAAATAGTTGATATGCGTTATTAAACACTAGTCTTAACAGATTATGGCGTGCACGTGGCGAGGATGAGCCTGCTGCACCAGTGGTGGTTGATGCAATCGAAGAACCACCCGGTAGTATTGAACTAAAATCACCTTTGCAATTGCTCTCACAAGTGGAACAAATGCATAAAGAAGAACTGGATCAAGTTCTGCATAAATTACAACATGAGAATAGGTTTTCGTCTGCTCTTGAAATTGAACCATTCACATTATGCGGTGACCATGTTGCTTTCTTTTATCAGTCGAAAAGATTTTTTGCAAATGATCGGTCGTTTCAGTATTCCTAAATTTGATGACCTTCCAGAGAATTGAAGAAAGAAATTGAAAGAAGGAAAAATTTCGAAGGGGTTGGATCAACACCAAATCTGACACATGCGCCGGTTCGTAACGCGAATTTGAGCATGGCAAGCGGTCGTTCAGTGCCCTCACTTCCGAACTCTACTGACGAGCAATTATTACGAGAAGTTGGTCTTTATTTTACCACATTTGCTATCGAATTGTAATGTTGAGTGATTCAATTGTTCGTGTTCTATCTATTAGTGACGAGTATTTTTTGATTTGATGTTTTTTGTGTGGGGAGGTGGGTGGGTTATTTGATTGAACGTAGTCTATTGTTGATGCACAGTGAATATTTGTTTAATGCTATTCTACCGTCAATGTTTCTAACGTCAAAAAGCGGCATATATTGTTCATATCAGTGATTCAATTGATTACTCTATATATATATATATATATA